AAAAAAGCACAAAAACTTAGCATTAGAACAAGAATCTGCATCTTGAAAAATCATATTGCAACAAGAATTCAAAAATCCAATGTAATATACATAACTTTTTGAAAGGGAAGATGATAATTATCCCAATAACTTGGCTCCATAGAATCATATCATCATAATCTCACTTAATAGTGCCCACACTGACACAATAAAATGCAGGGCAGGGGGGAGAGAAAGTTTGCTCCAAAGTACCTTCCCACTGTAGGAAACATTTTCCCATTAGAGGTGAGAAACCTATCTCTGGCAATGACATAAGACTCCAGCATTCTTTCATTAACTAACAGGGTGCCTGCACAACAATATATAGATTTCCCTGACTTATAAATTACAAACATGGTTATAAAATGCCAATTTCCATAAAACACTAGGACATTTTTTTCTCAAGACGACAAAGCAGCAGCAGAAAAATTTATGGACAAAAATGTAACATAACATATGCATGGAATATCAGCATCATTCTCTAAATTGACCAAAACAAGTAGAACAGAAGTTTACCCATGGGCTCAGAGATCAGAATATCTGCTTTCTCTGGCAATTCAACATCCTCAACTTTGCCTTTAATAACCTATATATATATATATAAATATTACATGACATAGTGCCCTGAATGATCAGATAAATAATGAACAACGACTAAAATGCAGAATACTAAGAAAAACATCTCACTGTAATTCGTTGACCCAGTATTGGGTTCCCAGCTATAAGTTTTTGTGCATATTCTGCCATTTCAGATGCTTCCACAGCATAAACATGCTTCGCACCAGCCTGCAAAGGAATGACATGGACTTCATACTAAGTTCAGGAAGTAGGTGGCAGGGGAGATACTTGGAATTTTCACTTAATAAGAAGAAATCATACTTAGTATATGATACTAAATTTACAAATAGACTTAGCTGACTGAAGTGTTGGGTTACCTGAGCAGCAAATAGTGACAAAATACCACTACCAGCTCCAACATCAACTACTACACGACCTATGAAATCAGCACGATTCTCAATAACTGCAGCATAATAGGTTCCTAAAACAAGAACATCAAGAATTCCTCAGCAAATATATATGTCAAAGTAAATTAATAAATAAACAAACACTAGGATACAATTAGGTGTAACCTGTCCTCACATAGTCCTGCAACATATTTTGCTGATGCAGAAGTTGTCCATAATAATGAAAATACATTTTTGCGGACGATGACTCTATTTTTTCATCAAATTTGCTTTTAGATGTTATTACATAAGTTCCATTTGGCAAGTTTCCGCCTGGATTAAAACAATCAAATATGTAATTAAATAAATATCCTATCTTACCAATATACAAATGTAATCATGCATGAAGTGAAAATACATTTGCAGCAGCAAGCAAAATAAACACTGAAAATTACAATTAACAAATGACTGTGGAGATGATGATCATGAATTCTGTTGAAAATGAAAAATCTTCAACAAATATAAATTATTTAATGGGAGAGTCTGTCTCCAAATAACAATTTAGGTGCTAGCTGCAAAAAGAAAAACGTAAAAGAAGGCTCTGTGACACAACCAATCCTACCTAGAGAATAATAACTACAATGAGATCCAATGCAACATCAGAATTACTATAATAAGAAACTATTTTTTAAGCAATTAATTATACAATATCATAAGCTCTTCTGTTACACATTGAATCTGTAAAGCAATGTTCTACCCGCACCAACTAGCATTACAAGTTCTTTAAATATCCATTAACTGTCCAGAAAATCTAAAAATAGGTTCAATGATAAAAATTTAAAATAATAATAAATTAATAATATGTGAGAGAAAAATAGCTACTTTCCTTCACCCTATGTTTCATGTATCCAAAACCAACACAACTGTTGAGCACCAAAAAAGAAACAATATTCAGTTTGTGAATAAATGCCATTCTGCAAACTAAAGATGACCTGAAGCATTCAAAATCAACAAAGTTTGCAAAATGTCATTATACAAGGTTAACAAATTTCCAAAGCAGCACCTTGAACATTGAATTCCTTCTTCCATTGTTGGAATACACAATGGAAGGCCTCACTCTCTTCCTCATTTCTAAATTGTATAGCGACTCCCCTGGAATATGATGTCTGGTTCAAAAATAGCACAGTTAAAAGACATCACTATTTGGCAGTACATCAACAAATTAAGCAAGGAAACAGAGCACCATGCACACCTCACTAGAGCACAAACATCAACATACAGAGCAAAGAATCAAAAGACAGAAAACAACATAGAATGCAGCAAGTCCATAAAACCAATTCTTTGAAGCTCAAATATTTTAAACACCAAATAATAATAATAATAATAATAATGACAATACCAATTGAGTTAGCAATAAATGATAAAGCATTTGTACCTGTTTGCCAGCATCAGTCCCTTCCACCAGGCAAACCCATTTGACAGGACTTAATCTGAATAGCTGTAAACCATAAATACACACTATATTTTAATATATAGTAATTAAAACAAGGACATCAAATTACCAACACATCATCTGCTACATATTTCATCATTGAATGAACTCATAAATACAAAAAAAATATATATATATATAATATAATCAATCTATTTACTTTTGTGTCTGTTTCTGGCGCAGTTGCTAAGCAAACAAAAAGAAGCAAACCTGAATAGGTGGAAGATCAGCATTTAGAGCAATCTCCTGAGATTCATCCTGAATTTGAAGACGTTCACCGGTGAAGAGCGCAACCCCCGGCGAAGCAGAAGAAGAAACCGAAGACACCTCACACACCGATGCCAAAGCGAACTCTCGCTGTTTACTCTTCTGCGCCACAGAATCCTCCATCACCATCGTTCCTTCCTCCAACCTCAACAACAATCTTTGTCTTGCTCTATTATTTATATATATATATATATGTATAGTTATTATATAAATTATAAATGAAAAAAACGGTGTGACTGTGTATGTATGGATATTAATAATATTGTGAATGATAAACTCAAGATAAGTGTATGCAGTGTATATGATTTTGAATTTTTTTTTTTTTTAAATGGAACTAGGGTTTGAGTTTTGTAGGAATTGAGAGCCGCCAAAGAGAGAGAGAAGGTTGATGAATGTGGAAGCAGTTTCACTTTGCCTCAGGTTTGGGGTTTTATAGTGTGTGTGCGAGTGTGTGTTGGTTTCAGGGTACGGTTGTGTGCGTTGGAGGGATGAGTGAGGAGGGTGCGGAGTTACTGTGTGTCGTACACTACTCTACTCCATACTCTAGACGGAGTCAATGAATGAACGGTGGTCGTTTCTGGTGCAACGCAAGGTAGTGGAATTGGATTTTCGTCGTATACGCACTCTCCTTTTCCACTCTTGTGGGCCCCTTTGCTCTTCCAAAATCTACTATGCTGTTCATATCTGATCTTACTTCAACCAGTTACACTTAAATTACTCCTACGCTACATTATTCATTAATCAATTATATAATTTTTACTTAATTCAAGTGCCTTAAATCATGTAACCATTTCTCATACTTTGTTAACATGACTTTCGAATTTATTTTTACTCTAAACCCATTAAATGTTTAAGCTAGGGCTGTCCATTATTTTAGATCAATCTAAAATAAAATTATTAAATTGAACGTCTTGTTGACTAATATTTTAAGGATATTAATTAAAAGAATAATGTAACTGCTACAAATCTAATGTTTCATTTATTAACTTTCTGGAGGTCATAAAATGTTTGAAATCCTAAAATTGATGAGCATAAGAATGTGATGTTTTATCAAATTGATCAAATCTATTCAACTAAATCGACTATCTAAGTGAAAGGGCGACAGTTGTTTGAATTTGAATTGTCCAATTATTTGGATCCTCTTCAATCTCTCCAACATCTTTTTACAGCAAAGATTTCAGCCATCCATTACATGCCCTTCCTTTTGTGTTTTTGTACAAAAGATGAATTCAATGGTTGAGATCTTGTGGGAGATTGACTTGACAAAATTAATGATAAAGATTATCTGAAGACATTGCCTAAGTATCTTCTCTGAGGATATACAAAGTAGCTTTAAAAAAATCGATGTTTTACTTGAATCGGTTGAGTATCTTTTCAAATCAATGTGTACTTAAATTGGTCAAATATCTTCTTAGAGAATGCATAATCCTCAACAATGAACTTACAAGCAAAATTAGTGATTTACTTGAGTATGTTGAGCATTTTGTCAAATTAATGAGTATTCAGATTGGTCAAAAATCCTTAGAAAGAGATACAACTGGTAACACTAGAATATATGATCAATTGTCTATTCAAACTGTTATGTTGTTTTCAAAATTTTCCAAGTAATATATTTGGTTCTTATTTATAAAAAAAATAAAAATTAACCAAGATCATAAGAAATTAATTAAAAATTTAATAAATAATGATTTTATATTAAAAAAACAAATTAAAATACATTAAAGAATATAATAATAAGTGTATTTTTATGCTTCTTTAATAACTTTTTTTACTTTTTTATTTCTTAACCAAAGCTTTAAAAACACGTTAGCATTTTTCTTTATGAAATCCTTTCACAAAATAAGAAAAGTTGTCAAAATTAGTTAATATATTAATTTTTGCAAATTTAATTGTACATTTAAGTTAACTACTATTTAAAGTCAAACTCAATATTGTACATATTGTTGAGAAATTAGCAAGGTTCAATGTTTGAGTAGAGTAAGTATATAAAAAATAATAATAAATATTTTAATAATAAATATTTTTAAAAATTGTAAAGAGTCTTGTATTGAATATAACAAAAAGTCTTTAAAGGGTCTAATAAAAAAAAAAAAAAACAGACTGAGTAGTCGGCATGTTATATTGCAAGATGTGTGGCAACCACTTGTGCATGCCTGTGCACCAAACTCGAAAATATAATTAATGGAATAGAACTATAGAAAAGTTTATGCTTGAGAAGTACACATTCGGATTCAATGTCTCCTTGGTAAGCTTTCTCCAAAGCAACACTGTTGGTTCCCACGTAACTGGCAAGTTAACTTGTCAATATCGGTAATGTTAAGAATAATATAATCTTGAAAACTATTAGAGGGTGCATCGACATGATGATCTTTAACTGGTACTTCGTCCATCTCCATAACATACGAAAAGCTTCAAGTTTTCATTCTAATTAACCATATTTATAGCGAAATCCCATTACAAGACGGGTCCAAACTATCAAACAGATTCCATATGTCACAAGCAGATGAAGTTGTTACTAACAAGAGATTCCTTCCACGACCCTTTAACCACATAAGCAAAGACATAGCAAGTACATCAAAATTAGATAACAATAAAGAAGGGAATTATTGTCAATTTCTCATTAATCAATTTATCCACAAAATGGACCATCGGAAGAGTCCAGCAAAAGACACAAACGAGGAGGGTATTTGTTCTTTCCAAAGAGATCAATATAACTCAATAATACTAAAACAATGATAACTGATACATATCCAAATAAATTAAAGATTACAATTTTCAGCACTATAGTGACGTGATGAATGAATATCTAGCAGTAGTAGTAGGAATCTCGAACTAGGAACCAATATCAACATCATCAAGAAGAAGATGAAAGCTTGATAGCTTTGAAAGCTGGATGAAGCAATCCAAGTTCATCCTTGACATCAATTGGATTGCTTGTATCATTCCTCACTCTCTTCACCTTGCGACTAGCAAGTGTCCTGTGAGTGAACCCATACATCTGTAAAATCTGGTTATCCCCAAAATTATAAGCCCTATCCATCTGTTTCAAGCACCTCTGAACCGGGTAATCCCCAAACTTCCCACAAGGCTTACACCCCACAAAGTGAGTAACCAAAGGCCACCTATGATCCCCAAGTCCAGGGTGGTAATTATCGATCATTTCCTCATAACGGTCCACCAAAATCCCCCAATACCCATGCAAGTAATAGGCATTCTCAAGGTAAACCTTTTCACCCCATTTCTCCCTCCCAGTAGCCAACAAATAAACCATAGCAGATTGATCATCAGCTTCAAAAACAGGCCTATTCTTAAGCTCCCTAGTGAGCAATTTCCCTGCTTCATCCCTTATCTTCCCCTTTGGACCCATTGGAGCCCAAGCATCAAGAATATCCAAAGACCATTGACAATTCCTCAAAAGAAAACTCCCAGTGTTCAAACCAATCCAATTCTTCTCATCATACACCATCTCATTCCACCCATGCATCACAAAATTGTAATCCTTGTACCTTTCCCAAGGCACTTCAAAAGCCATGTCGGTGAACATTGCATCACTATCCATCCACCAGAGAAACTCAACCTCAGGATGAGACAGTAACAGTTTACGAATCAAAGGAAGCTTAGCCCAAAACCCTGCCATCTCAGCATCTAAAAGAGCCATGTTGTAGAATATCTCAATCCCGTGAACCCTACAATAATCAATCTTGTTCTTAATCGATTTCACAAGATAATGGTCCCCAACCGGGTTTTCACACGGTTTGGGCGATGAACCGGTTACTAACAGAACCCGTGGTTTGTTGGATCCGATGAAATTCGGGTAATCAGGGTTATCTCGGAGCCATTGTTGGCGCTGTTGGTCCCAATCCGAGATTTTGGGGCCGAGAGTGTAGGGCGCGTTAGGGTCACGCTTATGCTCGTCGCCGGTGTCTTCGTCGACGAGGATCTTGGAGAGATCGAAGGTGGCGTAGTTGGTGGAGGTGGTGTCGGAGGCAGTGTCAGGTTTGGATTCTTCAAGGACGCGGCGGGCACGGGCGGCAGAGATGTGCTGGCGGATCTCGTTGAAGTCTTGCTCCGGCGTGCCGAATTTTCCGGCACCGATGGTGCCACGGAGGACGATGACGGTGAGGAAGAGACAGAGGAAGGTGACGGTGCTGTGACGGCACGCTCTATGGATCTGACGGACCCGCCGAGTTCCCAGGCAACGCTCCAGCATTGTGGCTCGCTGAGTTGACTCGGGCTACAAGCGGACTCAGGTGATTACTCAGACGCCGATTGGCTCAGCTGCGATGTAATAACGAAAGTGAGTGAGTGAGTGAGGGAACGCGTAATCGCGTGGTTAAGTCCTAAAATGTGTCCCAGGACGCCTTGTCGGTGGAGGACAACCTTCTGTTTTCCAAAATATTCTATTTTCAAATGTATTTTTTATATGGGTATATATAAAATAATTAAGAAAATAAGGATCCATGGAATTTCTGTGACTTTGGATGCCTTTTAACTTTTTACGCTCAAAGGATTAGTCAAAATTAATGAATACATATTTATTTTAATTCTAATTTTTAGAATTATAAGCACTAATTATTTTTATTTTTTTCATAAAAATATAAATTTATTTAATATTCACATATTTACTCCAAAATTAATTCTGTGTATCAATCTTTTAAAAAATTTAGAATAGAAACTAAAAAAAATAAATTTAAAAAAACTAATAACTTACCTTTTCATAATTTTCAACGTAATATCATCATGATTTTGATAAAAATATGTATTAATTAGTAGTTAGTTTCCGATCTTTAAACGTGTAATCTAGCTAAATAATTTGACATTAATTGACATAGCGCGTGACATGTATGAAAAATACAGCTAAGAATAGCCTGGGCCTTGTGGGGACATTGCATTCCAAGTTGGCATTTGGCTCCTGAGCTTCGTCATTGTAATTTGTCGTTATCGTTTTCGAAACCTGTGGTATGGCTCATAAATGCCTATGGTTTCAAAAATGAAGAGAGGATTTGGTTTCTAAATCAGGGGTTTCAATTTTCAAGCATCAAATCAACAAGGGTGGAAGCTGTGATCGATGGACTCCACCACAGGGAAATCCATGCCTATGAGGTGTCAAATAGCTACTACGACGAAATTTTTTGTTTTATTCGCTAAAATTTATTATATTTCCTATAATATATTTTTAATAATTTAAGTATTATTTATTTTTATAAGGTCAAACAGACCAGCTTACAAATTCAAATAATTTTTCTCTAACATCGGCAGCAATCATGGGCTAAAAAGTTTTCAAACAAGTTAAGTATTATTGACCGGGAACGTTGTTGTCTTAGATCTTCATTAGTTGTTTGATAAACCTTTTCGAGTTTCTAAGGAATTTGTGATCCTTGTTTAACTCAGCTTGTCTATCTCACATGTCAACATTTGTAAGATTTGGTACTACAACTTAATTTAAAGGAAATTTTTTAAATAACTAAATTTTGCCAAAATAAAAATTATGTAAATATTTTTCAATATAATTTAGATATTAATATATTTTCATGATGATGCAATTTTTGTTCTTTTATTTTAAATAATAAAACATTTTTACGTAAAAGAAATTTACTTTACGTGTCTATGTTAATGAATACCAACTTTATAAAGAAGTATGCTGAGGAATATCTGTAACAAATTCCTTTTTTTTTTCATTTATGATGATAGCTTTGATAAAATACTACTAGTAAATATATTTTAATAATTGAACAGAAAGTGTATAAGATGACCACACTTATTATAAAATAAAAAATATAAAGCTAACTTTATATATTATATTAAAATTATGCCTTGAATACATAACTTTTTTATAATCTTAGATAAATAATCAATTTAATTGATATTAAGATATATAAAATTTAAATATTGAAGCGTTTATAGTGTATTACTCGATTTACTTAATTAATACGAATCGCATGTATTAATCAGCTTATGATTAATCTCTTTTTTTTTTCTTTTTTTCATAAATAGTGAATTGATTCCATGAAATCATTTTAAATATTACTATTAAAATAACATAATTTTATAAGTAAAAGTGTAAATGGGTTAAATTTTATATAAGTAAATTCAATTTATTTAGTAATTTTAAAGTATAAATCAGATCTATTATATTATATGTCATAAATTTTTTATTAAATATAATATAATATTTTTAAAAATATTATTTGATCTATTAAACTTTTTAATAACGTATATAACATAAATAGAAAATATTATGGCATTAATATTAATCTAATGATGTATTTATTAGATTAAAAAAATTAATAAAATTGTCTTATATTTTTAAACATGTAATTTGTTATTTGATGAACACATAAATATAACATCTCTTATATCCATTTTTGTTAGATTGACAAATAAAAAAGAAGAAATTCAATCAGAAATTCCTAAAAAAATTTATATTTATATATAAAATAAAGAATGAGTATCATTATTATTACTAATCAATCAAAATATCTATTAAAAGTGACAGAATGAGGAAAGTTTTAATTTTTTTATGGTAAATAATTTTATTAATATTTTTAATTGATTATTAAATATTTGTGTAAATAAATTATCAAATTATTTAAATAAATATATTTCATAACACTTACATCTAAATAAATTATAAAAAAATAGTTTAACATATTAAATATTTATAATAAAATTATTTATTTTTACTTATCACTATTGAATCACATATTTGATTTAAATAAAAAATCATTAATAATGTAACAAATACAAATGTAATTCAATGTTATGTATACAAGATAAATTAAATAATAAAAATATAAAGACTTCAATAAATAGTACTCTCCTCTTTCGAAGATATGTAGTAGAGTAACTCTTAAACCTTACAAAAAGTAATTAAAATTTTATTTATTTTAAAATTTATTATATTATATTTGTATATGTAATTATTTAATATATTATTATAAATATTAAATAGGTTATTATGTGAAATATAATATACTTATTTTTAACTTAAATATGACCTATTCAATTAATTAAATTTAAAAAAAAATTATACTAAACTTTGAAGAGTTTAAGCATTAAACTTTTAGTCTACATCTAACCTATTTTCATCTTTATTTATAAAATAAAATTTAAATGTAACAAACATCAACAATAATGTTATTTTTCAACCAAGGTTGAAATTGAAATATGCATTATAAAAATAAACACACTTAACATATATTATCGACACTTACCTAATATTTGGGGAATATTATTTTCAAACCCATTCATGTTTTGGTAAGTTTTATGATAACTTGTTTGTTTGAAAACATATGTATACCCATATTTGTCCATCTTGACCGACATTTTGGGACATTGCTGTTGTCTCGCTTCCACTTGCCAGATGCGATTCAAGTGCTTGATTCAAAATTGAAAAATATAATTAGATCTATTTGACTCTTGTATAAATACGTTGGGTATGAATTCCTCGTGATAATTATTAATCTTCTCATTTGAGAGGAGGAAGAAAGCTTATCCTTTGGCGTATTTATCAATCTATTTAGCAATGGACTAAAAGGAACTTCTATGCAACATGCCCATCACGATTTTAATTTCACTGTAGGCATGTTATTTCATTACTATTCAAATGCAGCAAGATTCTATGTTTTACATGAAAGAAATTATGTACATTTCTTATTACAATTCAAACAACATTTACGCTCATTAGATCTCATATGTTACACAAGATAGTAATATGTAGACACTTGGAAGAATGAACCCCAAGGGAAACTATTCAAACTCACATGAGAAATACAAAATCCCTGAAAACAACCCGTAAAAACATGTTTAAATTATAAAAATAGTCTATCGATGAAAACTCTACATTTTCTCTCTTCCTTAAAAATATCAGCATTGGTTTGGGTCTCCTAATTCGTGATATATGCAGAGATAATTCATACTTTTCGTGCTGTAAATTTTTTGTGTTCTTTAGCGTCATTGCTAGAAAAATTAAAGACAAACAAAAGATTAAGAGATTAAAATTAAAATATTTAAAAAAAGATAGACCTAAAACATATATAAACAGAGTAATGAATCAATGATTCTCTTATTTTAGCTGAATCATTTAGAGAATTAACCTTTTTGTCATGTGTAACTCATGAATGTAACAAACTGGCTAATACTCTAGCTATACTAGCAGCTTCCTTTCACGATTCCGTATGATAGGAAAGCGTCCCTAACAATCTTCAAAATCTATGTAATTTGGATATTTTCCTTTAATGACACTATTTACAATCCCAACTCCAAAAAAGAAAAAAGAGAGACCGCGTTGGTAATCTAAGTGGGTATTGATTCCAATAAAGTAATTAAGAACTACAAAAATGTAATCAAAGAAACATTAGCTTGACGCTAATTAGGGTGAGATATGCAGCCCACATTAGGCAAGGTTTGGCTAGATCTTTAGCAAATGGGTTCACCTTTCTAAACCTCAAGTAACACAAAAAAAGGGTCACAAAGTTGACAAGGCAAGAAATTGAGGCAAGCCAATATGCACTCATGACAAGCACAATGGGGTGCCACACCATGCTTAAAGAGATATGAGCTATGTAGAGGGACATTGCATCTGATTCCCCTTGAAACCCACCATCGGCCCACACAAGCCAAGCCGCAAGACCTATGAACAAAGATGAACCCAACGTGGCTAAGTGAATGAACCAAAGTGGTGCGAACCAAAAGGGCTTGGCGAAGCGGTGGTACTTGCGGCCTGAACCAAAGAGGATGATTATGGTCAATGTAAGGGTGAAAGGGACAGCAATGCCTATTGCAAGGGAACGTATTGCTCTCTTTGCTTGGGCTTTCTTTGTTTCATGCAAGGTTTGAGAAGCCATGGAGACTTTTTTTGGGATCAAAGTACAGAAGAGTTCTAACAATTGTAATCATAGAGATTAAATTGGTAAACGGGTGCTTTAGAGCAAAATTAGGAAACTGTTTAAATTAAGAATTTGGCTTGGGAGTAATAATGGGGCATGATTTAAAATATCAATCACTAATATTAATGGTAAATTATTCACTGCATAGTACTTTTTCATGTTTCAAGTCAACGGTTTTAAAAGGAAAGAGACATTTTAGTAACTTACATTAATGTGTCAAATCATTATAGTTTTAAAACCAAAAAGAAAAAAACCTGAATGTGGTACAAATGAATGTGAGCCAGTACATAACGTGGAAACATATTCCTTATTTGGAAATTGTTACTAAAGTTTGTAAAGTATCAACTTATTTCAACTAAACTATTGACGAATACCTTTCTCATTATGCAAACCTGTTTTGTGAAACATAATATAATTTTAACTATAAATGATGTAAATTTTTTACATTTTATTATTATATTAATATATTTTCTGTACTTTTATAATTTTTAATAAATTTTAACTAATAAATAATGTGATGTACTTTTTATAAAATTACAATAAAATTCTTGATGGGTGAGGGTAAAATATTATAACTTTAAATTTAATGATTTAACTTCTCAAAATTAACAAATATATTTAATGAGTAAAATCATTCCATGATTCTACTTTTAGAGTGAGGGTGTCCGTTTTATAAGATAAAATGATATTTAATGCTTTAATGAAATTAAGCTATTCACATCATTATATTTTGGAGGAAAATTTTTTCTATCCTCCTGTACTTTTAGTCTCATATACCTTAGACTCTCAATGTTTACAATGCAATCTCTTATAATTACTAAAGTGTGCAAATAAACTATTTGATATACTAGAATCATGAGTTAATATAAAATCAAATATTAGTGAATGAACTTTATTTTATAATGTTGGCTTTGGATTCTCATAAATAAGAAAATTTAAAAAATAAAATGTTATTCAGTGTTGGAAAAGATATCAAATATAATAATAACATGCGAAAGCAAATTTAATCTCTCTTTTTTCATTATGCAATTAAAATTAGCTCAACACAGTTTTCAAGCAATTGATAATAAACACACAATAGAGAAAATAAACAAGAAGACTAAAATTATTCATGTGAAAAAACTCTAAATGAAAGGTAAAAATTCACGGGATCTAGTCCAGCAAAATTCTCCACTAATAGATTTAATGGGTACATCACAAGTCTTCTAGAACCACCAGAGATCAACACAAAATACAAACTTCACCGGTAAAATGAATAACAACACAATAAATCTTCAACAGGTATTCAGCTATAGTAACAAGAAAAGAAATTACTGCAATACCAAGATCTCAATGCACATATTATGCAAACCAATCAATCAATACTATAACTTTTCTTCACTACTATCTTTCGTCTTTTTCTTAAGACGACTTCTTTTCTCTCTCGTACTCTCTCTTGAGACAGTTTCTCTTTTTCTCTTGTACTATCGAGATAACTTCTATTTTTCTCGTCTCTGTAACTTGCATAACACACATTTTTTTACTTTTTTACTTTTTACTAAATCAGTGTGAGCCCACTTGATGGTGACACAAATCTCCCCCTCAACAATCAAGTGGAGCAACAGTTAACAAGACCCACTTTCCAATTTCTCAGCAGGCAGAGTCTTTGTCATCATATTTGAACAATTCTCATCAGTGTGGATTTTCTCCAATGATAATTGCTTCATCGCTAGTGCATCCCTTATCCAATGATAACGAACCTAAATGTGCTTAGACCTTGAATGTTCACGATAGGCAATCCGACATTTACCGAGAATTCTATCGCTATTTCATCAATGAGGAGTATAGGCGTTCTATTCTATAGGGCTACCTCTCCCCTAAGCTATTGCCTGGAATTCGTGTAGATTGACTTTCTTTTGATTTTTTCTGATGCATGTATTTTTTTATTATGTATAAATAAAGCACCCTATGCGGGGGCAGCTGACCGAAAGGAAAGCGCGTAAGCTGGCTTTTGTTTTGGCTTGAGATGGTCCAAAGTAGCACAGTGAAAGAGACATGAAATCTTTCGCCATTTAATTGAGCGGTGAAAGGAAGGCCTTTCTCATAGCAAGTAACCTTTACTTTGGTTGCTTCTGTGAGAAAGGGGTAGGGAGAGGTGAGGAGGGCCCCATCGCTTGAATCCCGCTTTTTCTTTCTGAGTGCCACCTGGAAAGCGGCGCCATATTGAAAGATTTTGAGGGACCGACACCGGACGGGCATACCTCTAATCGTTGGTTGGATCCGGTAAACAGGGTAGCTCCAGGTACGCTTGGGGCTGGATTGAATCCTAAACATATTAAAGAGATATATGCGTCAACCAACTAAGACAGATTGAAGTCAGTTACAGGTTGGAAGTGGGACATCCTTTACGCTCAAGAAAAGGAGAACGATCCTTTGGTCCAGCCCAGCCTACAGAAGCCTTCAACTAACTAAAGCAAGAGACATGTAGCCTATTGAAAGCACAATAAAATTCCTACTCCTAGACATTAATATAATAGACAAAGGAGAGAACTATAGACAGAGAGGGCTCGTCCCTGGTCAATATTGGATCAAACAATAAAGGGTCGTAGGTAGCACTGACCTATTTTTTTTTTTTTTATTCAATACAATAGGGGAAAAGATCGTAAAGTTCCCTACCGAGACAACAGACACTCTCAACGGATCCTCCGCGCGCTGGGCATACCTCTTCTGTGCGTCTTTCTCGTGGCGGGAACAGAACAACAGGGAAAGACCCGGCCGACCTGCCCATCAAAGAGGCTCGAGGGCGAGCTTTATTTAAGAGAGAATGGGGAGTGAATCGAATTCCGTTTTCGTTCTTGGTTTTTTGGGGCTTTCGGGCTCCTCTCGATCTTATTCGTAGTTGGGAAGGGGGAAGGAGTCTAAATCAATGGACATTAATGAACCATCATTGATGGACGTTGCACATGACACGATCAATTCGACTCAAGGTCCGGCGCTAATAGAAGTAGCTTACTCTCCTAGTAGCGAAGGAAAAAGGCAGGGCTTTTTTCGTAGTAATAGTGGGCGGGTCTCATGAGATCTATGCCGGCCGTCGGAATCAAATGAAGGGGTCGAAGGACCATTCGATTCATTAAGGGGCATAGATATAGGCCTCTTTGTTTGCTCAATCACCAAAGGCGGAGGGGAACCACTATGGGCGACAAAGTCGAGCTCTTGCTGAGATGGATTGCACTCTGACTATCACAATACAAGACATACTTCTCTTGAGAAAGACTTAGCTCCTGTAGAAATTTTTGCATTCATAAGAGTTCTTTTGCAGCCTCTGTAATAGCAATATACTCTGCCTCTGTAGAAGATAAAGCAACACACTTTTGTAACCTTGATTGACACGACACTGCTCCACCTACAAGAATATCATATAACCAGAAGTAGATTTTCTAGAGTCCACATCATTAGCCATATTTGCATCAGTGTACCCATCTAACACAAGTTCATCACTCCCAAAGCATAAACATACTCTAGAAGTACCTCTAAGATATATGAGAATCCACTTCACAGTTTGTCAATGCTCCTTACCAGGATTAGAGAGAAACCTACTAACAACACCAACAACATGAGCAATATCAAGCCTTGTACAAACCATGGCATACATTAAGCTACCAACGACAGATGCATAATGAATCTTCAACATTTCTTCTTTTTCTTTTTCGCTTGTAGGACACTGCAAGGAGCTTAACTTGAAGTGACTTGCAAGTGGAGTACAAATTAATTTGAAATTGCTCATATGAAACGTCTCCAACACCTTCTGAATATATTTCTGCTGCGATACCCATAATTTACCATTCTTTCTATCTCGAATAATTCTCATTCCGAGAATTTGTTTTGTGGGGCCCAAATCCTTCATTACAAAGGACTTGTTCATTTGTCTTTTGAGTTTCTCAATCCCATTCATGTCATGACCAACAATTAACATGTCATCCACGTAAAGCAAGAGAATAATAAAATTTCTATTATGAAACTTCTTCATAAATACACAATAATCAGAAGAAGTCTTAGCATACCCGTAATCTACCATAAAGGATTCAAACTTCTTGTACCATTGCCTTGGGACTTGTTTCAACCCATATAAGCTTTTCTTCAACCTACAGACAAACTTTTCTTTGCCTTTGACTATGAAACCTTTAGAATGCTCCATGTACATTTCTTCCTCCAAATCTCCATGAGGAAATATTGTCTTCACATCAAGCTACTCAATCTCTAAATTCAAGCTGGCTACCAAACCAAGCACCACTCGGATTGAAGACATCTTGACCACAGGTGAAAATATTTCTTCAAAATCAATGCCTTTCTTTTGACTGAAACCTTTCACAACCAACCTTGCCTTGTACCTTGCTTATGAGCAATTCTCCTCTGCTTTTAACTTGAACACCTATTTATTCTTGAGTGTTTTCTTTCTAGGAGGCAACTCTACTAACTCAAATGTGTGGTTCTCATGTAAGGATTTCATCTCATTTTGCATGGCACTATTCCATTTATCCTTCTGTTCATGTGACATAGCTTCTTTATAACTTTCTAACTCTTCCCCATCAGTGAGCAACAGATATTCATATGGAGGGTATCTTTGTGAAGGATGACAGTCTCTAGTAGATCTTCTCAGTTGAACCTCTACAGGTAGTATTGGTTGATCTGACTTAACTGGTTGAGATTCAAGTTCATTTCCTCCATTATCAACACCAGCATTCTCATCTCCCCCGTTATTGGTGGCTCTGGTAGGAGGATTTGGTACAGCATCATACCCATGAATAACTTGTTTTTGTTTCTTATTCTTATCAATATCTTCAATGGTTTGATCTTCAATAAAAGCAACATCTCGGTTTTTAATAACTTTCTTGTCAACTAGATCCCATAATCTGTAACCAAACTCTTCACGACCATAACCTAGGAAGATGCACTGTTTAGACTTTTCATCAAGCTTGGACCTCTAATCTCTTGGAGTGTGAACAAACACCTTGCAGCCATACACTCTTAAGTGACTGTAAGAGACATCTTTCCCTTTCCACACTCTACCAGGAACATCACCGTTAAGAGGAACTGAAAGAGAAAGAATGATTAAGTCAACTGAAGTTCTCATTGCTTCACCCAAAAGGCTTTAGGCAATTTGGCATGAGAGAGCATACATCTGATCCTCTCATTAATTGTGCGGTTCATTCTCTTTACAACTCCATTATGTTGTGGAGTCTTTGGAACTGTCTTCTCAAGCTTAATATAATGATCCTTGCAGTAATCCTTAAATGGACCCTTGTATTCACCACCATTATCTGCTCTAACAGATTTTAACAATCTCTCTTTCTCTTTCAACACTTCCATGAAAATATTTAAAGACTGTAAGTACTTGATCCTTAGATTTCAAAGCAAAAGCCCACACTTTTCTCGAGTAGTCATCAATAAAAGTCACAAAATAAGAACAACCACTAAGGGATCTAGCATCCATAGTGCAAACATCAGTGTGAACTAAATCTAAGATATGTGACCTTTTATGTGGAGGGTAAGTGCAAAAAGAAACTCTATGTTGTTTACCAACAAGATAATGAGAGCAAGTTTTAAGAGAAGTACCTTTAGGAAGGAGCAAATTCTGTCTCGCAAGAGTGTCAAGTCCCTTTTCGCTCAAGTGACCCATGCATTTGCGCATTCACCTCAGTTGTAGACAACTTTGTTGAGGTCCAATAAAGTGTATTTTGTTTCACTCCTCTTTTCACCACTAAGGTCCCCTTGGTGCACTTTCATTTACCATCACCAAAGACACTATGGTAATTATCTTCATCAAGTACTTGCACTGAGATCAAGTTAAGACGCGTATCTGGAATATGCCTAACATTCTTCAAGTGCAACTTGCATTTGGTATTACTTTCCAACCAAATATCTCCCATGCCAACAACCTTGCTTACCCCTTGATTCCCCATCTTCACATGCCCAAAATTTCCAGCAAAGTAAGATATGAAATACTTACGGTGAGGCAGCAAAATCAATAACTCATCCATATTCTTGACATGTACAATTAACAGAATTATCATCATAAACAACAACAATATCACCATCCATCTTCATCAAGTACTTGCACTAAGATCAACTTAAGACGCGTATCTGGAATACGCCTAACATTCTTCAAGTGCAACTTACATCTGGTATTACTCTCCAACCAAATATCTCCCATGGCAACAACCTTGCTTACCCCTTGATTCCCCATTTTCACATGCCTAAAATTTTCAGCAATATAAGATATGAAATACTTACGGTGAGGCAGCAGGATCAATAACTCATTCGTATTCTTGACATGTAAAGTTAATAGAATTATCATCATAAACAATAACAATATCACCATCAGATACAATTGCAGTAGTGTCATCTTCATCTCTATTATCAACATATTTTTCTTTTGATCTCATCTCTCGCTTAAGCACTCTACATTCTCTTTGCATGTGTCCCATCTGATTGCAATGATAGCACTTGATGTCTTTTCTAGTTCTTGACTTCCTTCTTGACTTACTACGACCCCTAGACTTGTGAAACTTTCTATTCTGATTTCTTCCCCGTGACTCTACACCAATGCTTCATTATGAGTAGATGAACTAGCCTTTCCTCTTTTTTTCTTCATTCAGCAGGTTATCTTTCACTACTTTAGATGTCAACTTCCCATTAGGAGCTGAGTTGCTTAAGGACACAACAAGTGTTTCCCAACTGTCTGGCAAGGCAAAGAGCTAAGTAACAACAAGGCAAGCAACTCATCATCTAATTTAATTTCCATAGTATTCAACTGATTCATAACATCTTGGAAACTACTCATGTGCTCAACCACCAAGGAGTCATTCCTATATTTCATGTTTACTAACTTCCTAATTAGGAATGTCTTGTTTTGTGCATTATTAGACTCAAACATGTCTTACAACTTCTTCCACAAGTTGTGGGCATTAGTTTCACTAGACACATGATGATAAATACTCTTGTCAATCCATTGCCTGATAATACCAACTGTCTTCCGATTAATCTTCTTCTATTCCTCTTCAGTCTTATCCACTAGTTTAGTGTCATCACCCTCAATAGGATCATACAATTCTTTATAAATAACAGATCTTCCGTTCTGGACTTCCATATAGAGTAATTGATAGAATCCAATTTGACCATTGACCTTCACCCATTATAAAAGCAAAACAGAACTCCAACCAAAGAGCTCTAATACTAGTTGTTGGGAAAGATATCAAATATAATAGTAACACGCGGAAGCAAATTGGATCTCTCTTTTTCCACTGTGCAATTAAAATTGGCTCAACACAGTTTTCAAGTAATTGATAATAAACACATAATAGAGAAAGTAAACAAGAAGACCAAAATTATTAACATGAAAAAATCCTGAATGAAAGGTAAAAACTCACGGGACCTAGTCCAGCAAAATTCTCCACTAACAGATTTAATAGGTACATCACAAGTCTTTCTGGAACCACCAGAGATCAACACAATACAAACTTCACCGGTAAAGTGGATAACAACATAATAAACACTCAACGAGTATTCAACTATAGCAACAAGAAAAGAAATTACAACAATATCAAGATTCAATGCACACATTATACAAACCAATCAATCAATACTGTAACTTTTCTTCGTTGCTATCTTTTGTCTTTTTCTTAAGACGGTTTCTTTTCTCTCTCGTACTCTCTCTTGAGATGACTTCTCTTTTTTTGTACTCTCGAGACGACTTCTATTTTTTTCGTTTTATAACTTTCACAACACACTTTTTTTTTTACCACAGCAGCATGGGCCCATTTTTTTCTTTTTACCAAATCAGCGTGGGCCCACTTAATGGTAACCCATCTGACATTCAATAACTTGTAATATCTTACTCTTAAGATATTTTAATTTATTAATTACACAACCTTTAATTTTAGCAACTAATATTTAGTTATCACAAAAATAAAAATAAAAAACAACATATGAATGATAATCTATTTACACATTCTCTTCCTATCATAGTGTCTTTTTATTCTTACTGTCACGTCTCATTATTTCTCTTTTACTAATGCACAAAATACTTCATAATCAAATAATCATAGTTGAAAGAAATATAAATTATTTAACATAAAATTGTAACAATATCTAAATGGATAAATATTTATAACACGGAAGGATGAAAAATTTAGATAAATAAAAATCTATAAATAATATAATTATATTAAAAAATGTTTACTTCAGACAAAGCTAAAATTTTTTAGATAAAAGTATATTAATATTTATTTTAAGAAAAAATATATCCATATTACCGTAAAGTCATGAATATTGTGAATTCATATTTAAACCACACAAATAGCATATAAATAATTTTTTTCATAAAATTGTGTTGATAAATGAATCATAGGATACATGTTTACTTTGCAAGATTTGGTAAAGTTATAAACGTATTAATATCTTTATATAAAAATAAATATTTATGTTATATATATATATATATATGGTAAAATATTTTTTATATAATGAGAATTTAATTCAGCAACATGCTTCAATTCCTAAATTTGTTAAGTTATCATCATAATTATTTTAATATTTTATTATTTTTATAATTAGTTTATTAATTTTTTAATTCTATAAATACAGTTTAAAATATTTTATGCATTCGTTCGATGATTTTAAACTTTTCAATCGTAGGTGGAAGATAATTTGAGATGTTCTTGTGGTGGTTTTTTTATTTTTTTTGTCGGTCACATTTAGTTTCTGTTATTGTTTACTTGGGCCATATATCAAGAGTTGGGCTTGAGAAAAGTAAATTTGAAACCTAGCCCAACTTCAGAATGAAACTAGGGTTTTGGGGATTTATAATAATCGTCTTACCCTAAGTTTCACCTCTGCGTCTCTCAACTTCGATCGATCTTCGTCTTCTCTGGTGCGCCTTCTCTCTCAACCCTTCGTTTCTTGTTGTTTTCTTCCTCTTAGGGTTTCATACAGCGTTTATAGTTACCTCATCGTAATCCGTTTCAGGTTTATAGAACTTTGTGAAGGAGTAAAGATGCAGAACGAGGAAGGACAGATCACTGAGCTTTACATTCCTAGGAAGTGGTATACACTTTAATCCTTCTATCCCTTTTTTTCTGTATTTAATTTTCGAAAATTTGTGGTTTAATTGCTGAGTTTTGGAATTTGAACTGATTTGAATATACGGTGCAGTTCTGCTACAAACAGATTGATAACTGCTAAGGACCATGCCTCGGTTCAGATTAACATTGGGCATTTGGATGAGAATGGTGTTTACAATGGCCACTTCTCCACTTTTGCTCTCTGTGGCTTCATTCGTGCTCAGGTCCTTTTTTCAATTATCATTTAGGGGTTTTTTGTTGTCTATTGTTCTCGAATTTTGCCTTACTTCACTAGTAATGATATGAAGTATGCCTCTTTTTTTGTATTTGTTTTTGTAATGTTGATCTAGGCTTAATTGTGGTTTTTGCTTCGCATTCCCAACTTGTTTGATTTTGTGGTTAATGAACTATATATATTTCAATTGGATTGCATGATCTTTTGATTAAAATTCAAATTAGAATTAGCATCAACTTGAACGGATTTGACCGTGTGTTTGTCCTTTCTCTTTTCTTTTTGGGGTGGGGTCTGTGAATTTTGGAAGAACAATCGGTTTCTTAGTATTTCTAGTTATTTAACAAAAATTTTGGTTTTGTGGTAATTCCTCAATCAAACCATTTTTTTTATCATTTTGTAGTAAAGAAAACTGAATCGGATTAACCACGGAATAGATTGCATGATTCTGGGAGTTTGTTTGCGTTTTATATGACCATTGGAAATTATGTTTTGGTATTATTTTCAGGTCCCTCACAGTCTGTAACATTACCTAGATGTTGTGTTGATGCATCCTGATTAAAAATTACATTTCTTAGCTCTTGATTTGTGTTCTCTCTTTTGGTTTCCAGGGCGATGCTGACAGTGCACTAGATCGCTTGTGGCTAAAGAAGAAGGTTGAAGTGAAGCAACAGTAGATGCTTATGATAGTTTGCTTCTCTATTATGTATTAAGTTCTACTATTGCTAGAGATATTTGAGTACTATGATCTAAATTTTGATCAATACTTTTTCTGAATTTCTGTTCGTACCTTCAACTAAAATTGCTCTTTGACTGTTTTTTGACAATGCCTTGATGAATTTTCGGTTTTTTCATATTCCGTTCATAGATTTTATGTTATAGTGGTTTTGTGTAAGATTTTCTTTGACGACAAAGCATAATGTTTTAGTCGAAAGGTCATTCTGCTGTTGGCTATATGACCTTTGGTCCTGATGATTGGTGCATAATTGCATTGGTGGCGGCCCTTGATATCCTAAATATTTGAATTCCAATATAAACAGAATGTTCTGCTCCGAGGTATTGTTGTTGTTAAAACCATGTGGCATAGTGATCCTGGTGAATGGTTCGTCCTTGGGCAACTTAAATCTTTGAATTCCAAAGAAAATCAGTGATGAATGATAATTTCTTTGTTCTTTGACAAGGCATTTTGCTTTGACGCATGTAACTACTGGGCATCTACAAAACTCGTGTATCATGCTTGGATGCTAAATAGTGGAGTATAAAAGTTCAATTTGCATTTTAGCAATATTTTTCAGCCCAAAATAGTATTTAGTATACTATCTTTGAAGGAATTTTCGAAATTACTTGTATTATATGCTCCACTGGTCTTCGACGCATGGTACTCTTTTTTCTAAATGGTCCTCTGGCTTCCCCATTTGCGTGAGCAAGCGTTGCTTTCGATTCTACATAACCGGATTTTCTCAAAGATCAAGTTCATGGAATTAAGAGACACTTTCCCAGGGAATTGGGTGCAACTTTCCATCACAACATTTTCACTTATACACTATGCACCCGCTTGATGGCGAGTCATGCTTTGGTTTGGTGTGGACGGTGAACTGCTGGCGCAGTCCGTCGAGTGCTGTTAGATTCCTAGTGGGCAAATTCTTAGAATTTGCTTACTTCAAGAAATTAGTTTATGACAATTGCTAACCACTGCATTTAAAACATTAACAGAAAAGAAGTATTTAAGAGAGTGCTATTAATATACCTTTTGTAGCTTTTAACTACAAATAATTTTGAATTCTTAATCTGTATTTTAAAGATATGGGTTTGAAGAAAGACTCGGTTTATCACTAGTAGCAAGATATTGAGTGATTCGAATTTTTTAAAATAATTGTTTTTTTTTTAACTTTATAAGAAAATTATAAATATAAGATTTTTCTTTGGCCAAAAAATATAAGCGGTGATTTTTCTTTAAAAAAATTCATCAAACATGGGCTTGATTGAAGCCCAATTCAAGGCTCTGAATTGCACACAGTTAAATTAATTTATCAATTTCTAAATTTTTAAAAGGTTTTTGTCCTTTAATTATGTCCATAAACTTAAATTATTTTACATTGGATCTATAATTATATTTTTTTCTGTCCATATTTTTTAATTATATTATGACAGGTTATAGAGACTATTTTTTAAATTTAGACTATAATTAGCCTAATCAAAGTCTGTTTGTTAAAAAAATAAATAAATATTAATTAAGTGAGCAAAAGTGTAAAAGAACGATGAATTTGTTTATCGGAAAAAGAAAAAAAGGATGCTTAAGTGAGAGAAGTGAAAAAGTAAAGTAAAAGAATATGTATACCCTACATTTATACAGTATTATGATAAAATTTAAAAATAATTTTTATAAAAAATTTAATAAAAAAAAATATAAATTTATTATAGATGCAATATCGTTTAGTTCAAAATTAACAGAAATAAAAAAATTAAATCAAACTATAATGCAAAATATATTTATTAATTTTTTAGTTAAGTAGTTTTCAATTTTTTCATTTCAATTTAACAATTTGAAAATAGTTTGAAACTCCTATTAATCAATGATAGCAAGACTATGATGATCAAATAATTAAAGATGATATAATATTTTTATAACCTCAGTTGCGTTTTCATTTTGTCAATTGCTCTTTGTTGCCTAGTTATGACATTTCTTGAACACTCATTTACTAGAGGATCCATCTATATAGACAAGACTAAAATTCCAATCTAAATAGACATAAATTAATAAATTTAGACAAAACATTTTATCATCACACACAAAATTAATTACATTACTCTTAACTTTGGACACCTCAAAAATCCTCTTCCTAAATTTGTATCAACGTTAGAAGCGTAAATCCTTATCAACCCTTCAGGAACATAATATTTTAGGTGGGTTAAATGACTTCCACTACTATTGTTGTTATTCGTGCGATTCTACTTATAATTCCAAATTCTACCTTTTACAACAGAGCATGGGTGTTGTGCAAATAGAGCTCAAATGCATGGATGAATGTGAAGGATTACACGAGTATTCAAATTGGAGATGCAGAGGTAGTTGATGTAAGCAAATAAAGTATGTGTTTATTTCGGTGTTCAAATGAATCAAATGTGCATAAATTTCAACACAGCCGAGAGTAGTTTTCTACGTTAATAATGTGCTTATATATATGGTTAGGTGACATTGAAATGGTATATGTAGGCCTTTTAGTCGATTGTGTACCTAATAATTGTGCATTTCATGCTAGCAAAGTGAATGCCGTATCTTGTCATATTAACAAGTTTGAAAAGGACAATAATGTCTAATTGTGCCATGTTTTTTAATGAATCTATATTAATTGAGGATGATTAAACCTAAGTGTTTGATGGTAATGATTGTGCTCCAAACCTTTACCTACCAAAAATATTTAGGTCACTTTGATCAATGTAAACCAGCATGCCTAATTTGGAGATTTTATTTTATTCTATTCTATTTAATTATTTTTATTAAGTTACTGTTTTTTACTTTTTACTTATTATTATTTTTATTCATTCTAAATCAATATTTGACTTAATCCATTAAAACGCTATTAAATTTTAAGTTTTAATTGAATCGGTTTACCAAAAAAAGTATTTTCTAACAAAATATTTTATAAATACTATATTAAATTATTAATATAACTTTTTTAAATGCCATTGATGTGTGCTTTTTTCTTTATTTTTGCTAATGTCTTTCTGGGTCAAGTAACATTGTGCACCACATCTTAGCTTGGTGGACTCTGTCTTGTTTTCTGACACATTTTGATTGGTAGGGAAGACACCCACCACAACTTTTCAAAGATATTTTTGACGTTATTGATGATTCGGTTGATTTATGCTGTCTGGTTTCCTCGAAACTTTGTTCTATCACCATGGATAAATAATTTTCATTTTCCGAATGAAATGAGAATTCAGCTTAACTTGAAAATATTCTGGATCAACATAATATACATAAAATTTTTCTGCTCTTAATTTCCTCTTAGTTGTAAATCATCGAAGTCAATAAACAGTGACAGAACTAAATGATTTAAATGGTGAGATTAATATAGACACACGAATACAAATTTGTTAAGTATTTATATTTACATATGCTAATACAAAAATAAACTTCATTCTAATTCATTGTTAATAAGAAAATAATTTATATTGAAAAATCTAATTTGGATTTGAATATTTAACATAGCAACATCACTGGGTCAAAAGAAACTCTTGAGGAAACAAATGGGCACAAAAAAAGTTTAAACTCCAAAATTGTAAAAAGGGTATCAAAATGTGGAGCCATATTCAATTCACCAGCAGCTACACATGTTGAGCCAACAGCTTTCTATTCCACTACTTTGATTGTTCAATAAACTTTTACAATATTAATAAATTAAATAAAAGAAGTGAAAGAGATTTCTGATACCTACTTTTATTTAACAAGTTATGATGTCAGCTATTATTTAATAGATTATTAAGAGTTTGTTTGTTTTGATTTTTTAAAAATTATATTTAAAATTATTTTAAAAAATGGTGTTAGAAAAAAAATGAAAATAAAGTATGTTTGGTAGTTTAATTTTTAAATTTTTTAAGACAAAATAATAAAAAAAATCAAAACATCTTACTGTTATTCTTGTTTTTTAGTTTCAAATTTTGAAAATAAAAAAATTATTTTTAAAAACTCATTTTAACGCACAAGTTTTATTTTTTAATTTAACAAAATATTTTGAAAAACAAAAAATAAACGAGTCCTAAGTATTTTGTAAAATTTTATTTTAAATTACATCTATTTTTAAATAGTTATGTCTTTTTATGCAGTTTTTAAATAATTTTTTTTTCACCTATTGATGTTTATAATTTAAAGAGAAACTTATCAAAATAAAAAGTAATTATACTAAATAGGATACTATTTGGTCATCACCATATAAAAAAATTTGAATACTCTTTTAGCTTAACTTCAGAATAAAGATTACCTATTCTCTTTAACCTAAAAATCAGGATGAAGGGTACTCATACCCCTCGCCCTAATTTCAAGACAAAGGGTACTTACATTCTTTTGGCCTAACTTCAAGATGAACACCTTTCTAATTATATTAAAATAAATTAATAAGCAAGTTAAAGATTAATAGTCGATAATCAATAAAGAAATGACTAATTATCTAATTTATTAAGAAGGATAAAACAATGTTGAAAAATGAAGCCCAATAGTCTAATATCATGTCAATAAAAGGAATGTAAAAAGCATAGGTAAATGGGTTTTGACTTCAAAATATTAAATAACATTTATTGTTCTATACTTAACACTGACTTCACTATAGTGTCTTTGCAGGTATTCTTTCTCACATCACAGCAGAGAAGAATTTGAAATATTCTACAAAAATGTCACATCAAAAGACAAGAATGGAGATTATAGAAAACGAGTGTATCTTTAACAAGAACAATAATAATATTAAATACGATTATAATGGTATAAAATAAATAGTATTTCAATGAATATTTCAACAATTATACAAAAAAGTTTTAAAAATAATATTTGAATATTAATTTTATGTACAATACTGTTTATGTAAAAAAGTTACGTCATATGTTATATTAAGAGTATTTAAAAAAAAATAAATCTTTGGTTTAATCCAACATTATTTATGTTAACCATTGATTTTATAAAATATTTATTTTAATTAATAATTTAGAATATAAATATATTTTCTATATTTTTTAATTATTTTATACTTAAAAATTTAAAAGTAACTTTTTGTTGAGAATAAATGTGTATGTTCAAGCCTCAAAATTATCATGTACTCTATTTTAATTATAATAATAAAGTATTATTTTATTTCTTTATCTTATATTTACGATTTTGACATAATAATTTATTTGATAAAGATTTTTTATTAAATTAAAGACTTGTTATCGTAATAAATATTATAAAAATGAAAAACATGTCTCTCATAATTTAATCGAAACTGTTGTTTATCATAGAATTATTATAAATAAAACATTAATAATGTGATAGTATTCATTAAATGAATATTAATAGATTTCATTATTAATATATATATATATATATATATATATATATATATATATATATGTGTGTGTGTGTGTGTGTCGTGTGTTTGGCCATTAATCTTCATAGTAACCAAAAAATTATTTGTTATATTTTAATTATAAACATCTAGTTATAGAACAATAGTTGAATATATATTGGATATAATTAAATACTTGTTGGATTAATGATAATTTAAAGAGTTAATCAACTATAAGTAATAAGTTTGAACTCTATTAAAATTAAGATTTAGAGTAACTGAATGAAAGAATAAATGAATTTTCTTTAAATCATTCATAATAAATTGATATTGATAGATTATACCATACTATATAGTTAATTGAGAGCTAGAAGATAGAAGGAAATGTTATATTATTATTTTTTAATTATTATTGAAAGTAAAATAATTACTTCATGCTATTTAAAGATAGTGAAGAGTTTTGCTAAATGTCAACTTTGATTAATAAATTAATAGTTATTAATTTGTTACCAGCTTAATATTAAATCTACGAGTCACACACTAATGAGTGTTTTAAGAATAATTTATTATTTGATAATTAAGATTGTAGAATTTATTTTATCACATAAATAATATTTTTTTAAAATGAAATACTATTATATTATTTACTAGCACTAAAAATATTAATAATAAGGCAGCAACATAACATGATTCATTGTTAATCATATTTGATAACCGATTAAAATTTAATTGTTGGAAGTATAATTGTCATAATCAATGAGCTATTGATGGAGTTATAAGATAATAGAGAAAAAAATATTAGAATTGGTAAAACTATAGCCTTGGTCGAGTTATAAAATAGTAGAATAAATTTATTAGAGCTGGTAAAACTATAGCTTTTGTCTAGAAGGATTGATAACTAATAGTTGTTAAGTATTAGTAACCATTGCAAATATATTATTATATATTTTAATTAAACACGCTACATGAATATGATTTACAAGACAAAGGGAATTAATAGAATTCCTCTCCCCTCTCGTATTATATTTGTGATTATTTCATAATTAAATAGATATGTCAGTGTAAACGTAAATACACATAACTCGTTATTGAATAAATTTTACAAATAAAGAAATTATTTTATAGTTAAATAGTTGCGTTAAGATTAGTGTAAACGTTGATACACATGATTCTTCACGTTATTAAATAGATTTTACGAATAAAAAAATCATTAACAAGTACACATTTTAAAGTTTTTTTTTATATTTTAATACAAAATAAATCATATTTTCTTATTTAATATTATGAACACCATTTTATACTACACTTTTAATATAATTTTCAATAAAATATTATATATTATTAATTTCTTAATTATTACCTTTAAAATAATTGTTCGTAAGACATTATATAATTACACTATAATTAACACCTCTATCTTAACATCTGTGTTTTATATATTTGTCTTTGATGTGTTTATTTATAAATATTTATGTTAATTTTAAAATTTCAAATAATTTCTTATCATATATTATTTTTAAAATGATTTTTTTATTTTGTTAAAACTACGAAAATATAGACAATATCTAATTTTTATGATATTCTCTAGTTGCTAATAAAAATTTATTATTTAATAGTTTTTAAAAAATATTTATTTTTATTTTCATGTATTTATTTTCACTCTTATTTAAGTAATTGTTATTAAAAAATACTCCTATTATTAATATAATTATGGAAAAGAAAAAATATATTTTAGACAATGAGCTCTTAAATAATATAATAATAAATATTTAAGAGTGACAATAAATACATTCAAATTTTTATAATGCACCTTTAAACACATAAATTTTAATCATTTAAATAAGGAACTTTAAAAGTAATTATTATAACTTAAATTTTGTCTTCTGTATCTACAATGCATTCATTCAATGTGGATTGTAGAATGTGTTTAAAGTGATATTTTTTTAATAAAATTATAGCATTTGACATTATAATATATTGTTTTTATAATATTTTATAATTTTTAATAAAAATATTATACATCTTAATATGCGTGTTTAAACAAGCATTTATTATCTATTTAAAATGTTGTTATTTGTTTAAATTTTGGGACTAGCAATTGACAATTATGAAGTGCAAGTAAGATTTGACTATAAACCCGAAACTGCAGGCATATTCTGTTACACTGGACAAAAAATCATGCATTAATAAAACAGATTTATAAATTTTGGAAATGGAAAGAAGCGAAAATTGGAAAAAAAGAAAAGAAGAGAGAGAAAAAGAAGAGGAAGGGCGTACGTAGGTTTAATTAAAGAGGAACGAGAAGAGTTAGCTTTTGATAAACCGAAATGTGAGCCATGTAAACATTTGCACACAGAAACACACTCTTCTCTTCTCTACCATCCGAATTTCCAACAACCTCGCTCTTTCTATCTCTTTTCAACACTCATTCTTCGCCATTTTCCTTTCATATCTATTTTGCAATGCTTCCTCACCTCTCTCTTTGACCCTCTTCTCTTCTCTCTATATTCCATATATTACCTTTCATTACATGTCTCTGTTTATACTTACATTCTGAGCTTCTTCACTTTCTGTTTCCTCCTCCCAACTGTATCTAGTCGTAAGCGCCTTTTCCTTTTCTTCTTCTCTCTCTTCATAACTTGTGCTGGTGGAGTTCTTGTGCCTTGTGTTTCTTTTGTCATGTGTGTGTCTTTCTCTCTTGTGGGTTTTACGAAAATAATTTTAAAATGTTGCTTTTATGCTCTTGTGTCCGTACTTAAAGTGCCCAATTGAAAATCCGAGTTAAAGTTTTGATTTTGTTTAATTTTTAATTAGGTGGAAGAATGACTGAGTTGGAACTGATGCAAAATGCGCGCGTTCTGAGTGTTAGTTTTGTTTAATTAGACTCTCACGTTAGTATCAGTGGTTTAAGTGTCATGATAATTTTCAATGTCCATGAAGCTCCATTGTGATTTGTGAAGTGTAAAAGAGAGAGATTTGAAGCAGGGAAACAAGATCATTGTTTCAAGAATTTTGCCTCTCCTCTTTTATTTTTGTTGTTTACTTTACAAAGGGAACTTTTTGGTTGATTTATGATGATCAATTGATGTCTTTTCTTTCGTTTTGGGGAGCTTGGTAAGAAGTGCTGGCTTGAAGAAGCCCCTGGAATCTTTACCTTCAAAAGATTTTGCTCTTCTTTTTGTCATTTTTATTTGAGCCATCTATTCCAAGATTGAAAATTTCCCTTCAAATTGGGTATATTGTTTGAATGCTATTTGTTTTTGTTCTAGTTAATTTGTTTTAACCTTGTCATTTATTTGTTTGCTGAGCTGATTGCTGCTAGTTCTATATTTGGTGCAGGCTGTAAAGTTTTTTGAATGAACACTGTTTTTGTTGCATTATTAAGTACATGATTTGAGCCCTCTTTCCACAACCTGGAAAATCTTTTGTATGCGCTTTCAATATGATAAAATTACTTTTATCTTGACCATAGAATCTTACATGAATGGTCTGGATTAAATTTAATTAAAACCAAATTTGATCGTCTGTGTATGTGTGTGTGTATTGATCCCATTCAATTACGTTTCATATGCTGCTGAAAGTTATCTTTTAGAATTAAATACCTGTGAATTGTGATCTTGATAATGTGTTTGTTAAACCAGGGGATAAGCATGCTTAGTCCGGAAGCTGAACTTAAAATAAGTTTTGGCTATCAATGCAATAGCAGTAGAGGTATACCTTGCAAGGCTTCCAATGGCTGCAAAATCCTTCCTGAAATCCGTAGAGCAAGCAGTTTCACTTGCTTATCCGGTGCTGGCTTAAGCGCAAATGCTACACTAGCCAACACGAACATCTGCAATGGTGTGATAGGAGAAGAAATCCTTCCATGTTTGGACTCTCCTAAGTCATTTCGTAAGGTACCCTCCTCGCCAAGTCTTCCAAAGTTGGAAATATTATCATCTTCTATCCATAGTATCTTGTCAAACCTAAGTTGCAGCCCATCCACCCCAAGTAATATGCTTGAATATGACCCTTGTGCATTACAATCCATGAGTCCACCTTCCAGAAGTGACGGTTTTCTTAATGCCGTGGAAGTTCAAGTTGCTGGAGGAGCTGCAGGTGAAGATAGAGTTCAAGCAGTTTGTTCTGAAGAAAATGGATGGCTCTTCTGTGGAATTTATGATGGCTTTAATGGGAGAGATGCAGCCGACTTTCTTGCTGGTACCCTTTATGACACTATCGCGTCTTATTTTAATATGTTACACTGGGATTCGGAACCTGATTCCATTAATGCTTCTAACAATGTGGGTATGGGTGGATCCTTTCAATATAATTTGGATGATAGTCTTATTCTTCAGGAACATCAATCTCCATCAATGTTTAATGGAAACGACAATTCTAGTATTGGTTGTTATGCAAACGGTACTCCACCTGCCAAGTCCAAAGCATCACATAAATCATTTTCTCATACTGTCCTTGATGGCCTCCAACATGTTCTTAATCAGGTTGAGAATGATTTCTTGTACATGGTTGAGCAGGAAATGGAGGAGCGCCCTGATTTAGTTTCTGTTGGATCTTGTGTTCTACTTGTGCTTCTTCATGGTGATGATTTGTATACACTTAATCTAGGCGACAGCAGAGCAGTGTTGGCAACACGCAACACAGACGGAAGAATGAATGAGAATGAGATATTGAAGGCTATTCAGCTTACAGATAATCATACTGTAGACAATGAAGCGGAAAGAGCTCGGCTTCTTGCCAGTCATCCTGATGATCCTAAAACCATTGTAGCAGGGAAAGTGAAAGGAAAATTGAAGGTTACCCGTGCTTTTGGAGTTGGCTACCTGAAAAAGGTTGGTATTCTTTTTTATATTTTAGCCAATAAATTTCCAAAAAATTTTGTTTAGTTTTATTTTTGAAAAAGCAAAAACAAAGATACTTAATATACTTATACATTATTATCCAAGCTAAGGTGAGTGGATGAAGTGTTACGCATTTTCTGAGTTTGCTGGTTCATGAAACCAATAATTGCAAAGAATAAAATATTTGTCCTACCAAAGAACAGACTTTATTTTCTTCTTTTTTTGGTCCACAGAAAAATCTGAATGATGCACTGATGGGAATTCTTCGAGTTCGTGATCTTAAAAGCCCGCCATATATTTATACTGATCCATCGCTGAATGTGCATAAAATCTCAAACTCTGATCAATTTGTTATAGTTGCGAGTGATGGTTTATTTGACTTCTTCTGCAATGATGAAGCAGTAAAGCTTGTGGGGTCTTATATCTTGAACAATCCTTCGGGTGATCCAGCAAAATTTCTTATTGAGCAACTAGTGGCAAGAGCAGCTGATTCTGCAGGTCATTTTTCAAGACCTCATGCTAAATTTAAATTTATTTGCATGAATATACATTTATTATGAGCCGATTTAAAAGAACTTATGGATAACTAGCAAAAATAGCTTATAATTCCTATAAACTCTTTTTAACTTATTTTTAATACATTGTACCAAAAAGCTTATTAAAATAACTTATCAAGAATTTTTAGTTTATCTTAATAAGTTTTATAATTAAATTTATGGCATAAATCATCATGTAAAAAGAGCATATTGAATAAATATTTAATTAATCTGGTATCTAAACACACCCTATATTGTTTTAATATTGGTTACGTAAGTGATTCTCTTGCAGGTTTCAGCATGGAAGAGTTGATTAATGTTCCAGATGGGAGAAGGAGGAAGTACCATGATGATGTGACTGTAATTGTGATAATCCTTGGGATGAATCACCGGACTTCAAAGGCATCAACTTGCATCTAGAGACTGACCAAAGAAAATTTGCATCTGAAGCTTTTCAGTGGAGACTTTGGTCAAGTAGTATTTACTAGGAAATTTTGATATTCACTGTACATATGACATTTTAGAACTTAGAATCATTAGTTTCTCTGATTTGATGTTTAAAAGTTTTAAAGTACTAATGTAGCTTCACCATTTTGTTTGAACACAAGAATTGGAGAAATGCATTTGTTATATGGTCTTGGCGTTCTAAGCCAAATCAACGTCAGATGTCTCTTAGTATTATGTGATGTATATCAGTGAAATTTAGCATTTATTTGAAAAACATACATAAAATAATTTATATTTAATTAAAATTGAAAATAAAATACATAAGAAAAGAAGTCAAAATATTTAAATTAAGAGTTCGTTTGTCACTTCTAATACTTCTATTACGAGTTTATTTACTTTATATTTGAGTTGAGTCGAGAAACATGCTTAAGTATATGAAAAGATGTAAAAGAATCTAATTTTAGGCATGCATAAAATAAAGTGCTTCACTTTTTGCCTTTGGGATTTACCCGCGCAGTGTATGTATAGTCTAACATTATTTTTAGTCGTTATTATTGATAGAAAATGATGAAACATTTCTTAAGGTAACTTTTTTACTTCGAAAGTTATGATCGACCTCTCTTTAGGCACTTAAAAATCTTAGAATATCAATTTAAAATTTATATTTAACTAATTAATATCGTTAAGTAGCCCCAGCCTCTTAAACATTGTGAATTATTATAAAATTCTTTAATAAGAAAGAGTATATGAGTTTGCAACTTTGGATGCTTTTTATTTAGTTTCCTAAAAGTATCATCCTTAATGGAATTTGTCCAATTGAGCTGTTTTTTTTTTCACTTCGATGCATGCATGCGTGTTTATTAAGCATAACCTTTTCTTTTTTGTCCACTATGCATAACATGAAAAAGGAAAATTAGAAAAAGAAAAAACCAAAGAAACTTCTTGGCCTTCAGGCTTCTGACAATGAACTAAAAAAGATACATTGCTCCTTCCTTTTGATGATTTTGTACTTTTTTTCATTGATATTCGCAATGGTTTTTTAGTTGCGTGTTTGATTTTAGGTCTCTGAATCATAGATTTACATTAATCTTAATGGACACAGTATAGCGTTTTTGAATTAACTAGACACATGCTAAGTCAACAAGCAAATTAAGATTAAGGGTTGATTGTTTTATAGATGAATAGACTTCATTTTGATAGAATACATTTTAAATAATTGATTTTAAATGAAATATGCATTAAAATGAATTTTAGCTACAAGTTTTTATTAAAAGTATGTGATAATTGAATTTTTTAACGATATATCCAAAAGACATAAAAGTGTGGCCTACTACAGCTTGTTTGTAATTTTCACTCAATTTAGATGTTACTCAATGATAAGGGTAGTAATTTTCGTGAAAAGATTGTATAATTACAGGCTTGTTTGTTCTCAGTTATAAAATCGATTTTAGTATTTTTTTTAAATATAAAATATGTATTTCAATAAAAATACATAATTTAAATTAATTTGACTTTTTTTGCTAAAATATATGTTTTAAAATTATTTATCAAAAATATAAAATAAAATAATTTATCTTTTTGGAATAATTTTCTGTCACACAAAACATGTATATCATTTATGTTGGAAATAATACTAACTAAAAAAATTTAAGTATCACATATATAGTTAATGATATTCTCTCATATTTTCATTACTCACATGTCCTATAAATGTCATCTAACCAAAATGGGAGACTCACACTTAAAATTTAAAAAAAAGAAGAAGAAGAAGAAAGTCTCACCCATATTAGGAGTAAGACTTTTTTTTTCTTCTTTTAAGACATCTCCTTGTGCATTAAAGAGTGAGCAATTTTTCTTGCTGGATGGATTAAATGTTATTAATAAGACATGTACTTTGACTTGAATTAGAGGAAATAAAACAATTTGTTGAGAATATAATTTACTTAATGAGTTTAGTTGTTTAACTCAAATTTATTTAAAAATTTTAATACGCATTTTAAATTTAAAATATATTATTATATATGCTAATTGGAGATGCTCTTGTTAAAATGAGTTTGAGTGGTGACTTGGACTTGTTTATATCTATTTTGGTTTTTATTTTTTAAAATTATATTTAAGAAAAAAATAAAACTCATGTTAATAAATAAAATTTAATTTAATTTTTATTTTTAAAAAAAACTTTTTTATTTTTAAAAAACAACTTCTTTTTTTCCTTAAACGAAGCTCTTACAAGGATACTTATGTAATTGATAAATTTTTTTTCATTCACAAAGAATAAGACAACATTTATAGTGTACACGATAAAGGTAAAAAAAGAAGAAAAAAAGTAAGGGTATACCCTACTTTGTATATGATATTGAATTTATTTTTTAAAAATATTTTTAATTAGTCTCAATCTTGACGCAAAAAAAATCATCCCAAACAAATAAATTATTATATTTTGAATAATTTTAAAAATATATTTTAAACAAAATACCAATTAATTCATACACATTTTAGTTTTATTTGATAATTTAAAATTAATTTTATTCAACTTTAAATCAAACTAACACTGCATTGCAATAATTGCGATAATTAAAGTACGAAATCAATTACTATTATACTAACTTTAGGGTATATCTTTCAATTCCATAATCCTAATGTGTAGCTTAGGCACGTGTATTGAATTAGGATTATTTTGTAGCGACGATAATGAATCCAAGTTTTAAACCATGTAAAAAGGCGCTAGATTAAGAATCATTTGCAGTTATAAAATAATTATAAAAGATTGTTCATTACACTTTCTACAATTCAAATCAAGAGAAAAGCTCTTCTAACTGGAAAGACATCGATTCATCGATCACTGGTTTTTTAACAATCATTATTTATGAGTTTAGAAGATGAGATTATCTCAATTATATGTTGATCTAGCCCCCAACATAAAGTGTTATCAACAAATTTAAACTTCTGTTCCACCCACATTAACAAGTCTCAAAAACAATGCATCCAAACTTAGCATCAATCATGGAACTTCTATTGATCAAAATTCTGCACTCCTAACTCCCAAGTGTGAGTAGAATTTGTTATGTGATGTTGCTATTGCCTTTTGTAGTCTTTCATATATAAATTTGATATTTCCTTCCTCAGAAAGTGTGCTACAAATTCTACCCACATGAAATTTGGTGTCCCCCACCATACTTTTTAGTTTTTCCTTTTTATCTGCTTTATTCAAAATGCATTACTTAAATCATCACCAGCAAATGACAACCTCTAATTTATCACATTTACAATCCATTTGTTGCCTGAATTTAAATAAAAAAAACTCTTCTAAAAAAATAAAATTAACTTTTGAAAAAGTTAAAATGATAGAACTTGTATACAAGATGAAATATATAAATTAATTATAACTTAACAAAAGTTTAATTTATTAGTTTTAATATTCTTTAATAAGTACTAATTTGGTACACTTGTCCAAAGCCATTGCATCTTTCTACTGCTTCAACTTTGCTGGAACAACTTTCCTAAAAAATATGTGCTTTGCACATGGTAATCTTCCAACTGGGCTTTACCCTTTTGCAAATGAGCATAGATTTTGATGATACGAGATCCCTATCCCTCCACAATGCAGTCAAACCTTGAAGGGAATATGAGCCCATTAATAACAGTTAATGGTGATATATTGATATGCACTTTTTCATGTTACCATCAGAGAATCTCCTTGTAAAACTGAAAGCAAAATACATATAACTATCCAAGGTGCCATATTAGGCCATGATTTACAATTTGGTCCATAACCAAAGCAAGATAACACCGGACATTTCAACTTTAGGGATACCTGAAGTGCAAACCCCTACATTCCCTCTCACAAAATTATCATTGCAAAATTACCAAGCTAGGCAGAAAAAAACAAAAACAAAGTACTTCCAAGTCCTTACATAATGGAACACCCATTTGCATTCTCATCACTGAAGATCTCAAAGGAAACCAACGGTGCAGATTGAAAATAATTATTATCTTGGTCTAGGCCTGCACACGTGTAGGGTGAAGATGGAACATAGTAAGAAGGACCACCAATTCTTGCCATGGGATATAACCTGTTATAAGTGGCAACATAAAACATTGGAGGATAATAACCAGATTCTGGGTACGAGAATGATTGCTGACGTGTAGGGCTGAGATTCACTTGGCCCATTTGCTGGCCCACAAGATTCTGAAACTGGAATCCAGTGTGTGCAGGTGCACCACTAGCTGCTGAACCCACACCCCTGCTTCCATTGCCATCACCTGGCCCTTTCTTTTTCTTATTCTTACTAGAACCCCCTCCTCCACCTTCTCCCTGACCACCCTCCGGCGAAACCTGGTCAACGGCCGGAGACTTTCCCGGCGAGTTGTCGCCGGTCTTTGAGTCGCTGCTTTCACACTTAGCATCACTATTTTCAGTTCCCTTGTTTTCCAAGCTCTTTGATTCTCTTTGTTCATTCTTCTTGTTCTTCTCACCTTTGCCGGTGATTTTCCCCTTGCCGTCGAGATTCTCCGGCCATATCTCGGCATGCTTTCCGGCTCTGACCAGTTTTCGGAGAAGGGTCTCAACACCTACACTTCCAGTGACTGTTACTTTCTGCTGATGTGGGTCTATTGTTGCTGTGAAAACACCTGCAAAGTGCAACATTCTCTTCTCAACAACCCAAAGCACTGTTTGCAGGCTCAGAAAAAAAAGGAAAAGGAGATAATAATAATGATAATAATAATAATAACAGTGCAATCTACTCATGCATGAGAAAAAAAAAGTGTGCAGAAAGAGTTGATATTGGAAGCCATTTTTTCCTTCTACTGTTGAAGCGTTGTAGTACCATCAATGCTCTTCAGAACTTTCTTCACTTTCCTCCTGCAACCTTCACAGTGGATAGAAACTTTCAAGAACCATGTCTGAAAAGAACATAAGTGAGTTTGAGTTGATTTAAAAAAGATAAATTTGAATACTTTATAGATATTTTTTTTAATGAAGGAAAATTGGGTAGTACCTGATACGTCAAAGGTTGTGAAACAAGTTGAGAAGGTTTTGCATCCATTGGAGAGAGTGAAGTGAAAGTGGTAGCGAGGAATTGAATTGAAGGGAATGGGAAGTTGAAAGAAGAAGGGAGTGTGGGGTAAGTAAAAAAAAAGAGAAAAAAGGAAAATGCCAAGAATGTACTTGAGGGGTATGCACTCTGTTGGGGAGCAAAGTGTACAGGCAAGGATGGATGGCTATCAAAGTATAATGTGACAATGACAGAAGGACACTCTGGTGCTAATGCATTATTTTGCCATTCAGCATCATTCTACCTTCCTTCTTACATTTTTATTTACTCACTCTTAGGTTGTGTAAACAGGTCATGGTGTTGGTGACTACTATTTTAAAAGTGGGATGCTTGGGAAAAATAGTGATCCTTGCTTTACTTTCATGGTTTTGCTGTAACTGGTCAAGAAATTCAAAGTACAATTTTTTATTAAAAATTATGAAAAAAGTATATTAATAATATTTTAAGGTAATTTTTTAAAAAACTTTTTTAATCAGTATATTAGTTAGTATTTGCGTTATTTTTATAGACACTCGTGTAGTTTGATTTTGTATTTTTCATTTCTTTATCTATCCTCTCAATGTTTTCTTGTCCCTTATAGATGTACTAGGCTTTTGTTTCTTCTGCTAAATATTTGTTGTTGTAGGAAGCTATTTGTTATTCATGTAGATAAGATTCTTTATTGCAACTTTGTTAACTACGTTAATTGACACTTGATAATATTTATAATGGATGATGGTACCATTGTTCAAGATTCTATAATTTACAGTGTAGACTATTCTCAGTTATTGACCTAAGTTGGATTAGGACTGGCTTATCTTCACAGTATGCCTTGAGAAAGCACCTATCAAATCCCTTGCACGAACAAACGCATGGGAACAAAATTTCAGGCCTTTATGACTGTTTGAGTCTGACCTCCCCCCCCCCACCCATTTTCTTTTATGTTATTATGTATATAAAAGGAGTTCAAATTTAATTTACACCCAGCAAACAAAATTATATTATTAACTAATTAAAAATCACAATAAATATAAAAACACCCTCTATTTTTGGGTGTCACTAAACTAATTTGTATAGTTTGATGTTTTAAATTAGTTGGTGTGGTATTAGTAGGAATTAGCCTTTATCCACCCCCCCCCCCCCCTCCTATTTTTTTTCTGGGACAAGTTAAAAGAGCCAAAACTGTCGTTAAAGAGGAAGTGAAGAATATATATGCCCTACGTAGCAATTAAGGAGAACTAAAGGGGCCCCTTGATTGCTTCTGGTTTGAACAAAAATCACTTTATTTCACCCAACTTGACCCAATTTACTGCTAAGAAAAGACAAGACTAGTCTCTTCGGAAAGAAAAATGTTCTATAAACAACTAAATGACTAAAATGAGACACTTAAAAATGTTTTTTATACCGTATAATGTATTTTTAAGATGTGTGTATATATAAAAAAGCAAAAGAGTTATATATAATATTAATTTTTAATAATTTAAATAAGAAAATTGATGGAAGTGATTGCAGCAAAATATAGGGGAGAAAATGACTAATCTGAACTCTCTCTGTTGTTGCCACTGCCAGATGACCAAATTATAACATAACCCCTTGAACACTGGTTACAGTGTTCTTCCATCTCCTGTGTCTGTGTGCCACATCAAAAGCTTCCCACGAGGAAAATCAGCATGTCATGTATTTTCACCTGAGAATGACATTGGGACCAAACCCTCAAGTAATGCTCACGACGACACCATTTGGAGAAAAGTTGACAATCTCCGAACCCGGATCGTCTGCAGTTTTTGCAGAAAGCTTTAGTTATTTTCTTCGTTTAAGCGAAATTTTTTTAAGTAAATTTTGATTAAAAGTAATTTTATCTTAAGTTAAAAAAAATTTGCTTTTCACACTCTCTAGCTATATTATTAAAAGATAATTTGAAAAAGAAAAATCTTACTCTCAATATATTTTAAATTATAGATTAAAGTTTAGTAAAAACTATATAGAATTATTCTCAATTTAATAATTTTTTACTAATAAAAATATATACTAAAGAACACATTTCTAGTCTTTCTCTTTAAAAAATAAAAACAAAACCTCAAAATATATAGTTATTTACCAAAACAGAGATATTTGTGATTGATATTGCTGTTTAAGAAGATTTCTCTACTGTTGAGGTTTTGAATTGGGGGGATTCAGGATTGTGTATATTTTTGAAAGCCTAAATTATTGAATGAAATGACATTATTACATCTTTTAACATGTTCTTTTCTACAAGGGACTTTAAATTAGAAACATATTAATACATTAATTCTTTTTATAATGAGTTAACATTCAAATTTTATTTAAAAAACGAGGCAGTGAAAATCAAGATCCTAATAACTTCATAAAAGTTTAATATCGTAGATATTTTAATAGCATATTATAATAAAAAAAACTTAAACAGAGAAACGAAAAGTCCAAATATGAGGTGGTACAATGGCATCGATTCATTTCTCATTGAAATTGCTCTTTTCCGAAGCATGAGGAAAGCTTGTTAATGATCTTACAATGGTAATATGCTAAGTAAACTGAATAACAAACCAGTCATCAAAATAACGATGAAAACAAGATAGATAAATCTGATTTAGTGCACGTCAAAAATTGTAACTGTTTATTAAATAAAGTTTAGTTATAAGTTCGTAGAATCGTTTAAATCTAATAGATAAATCTGTTTAAATAAATATAAACAATGTATTACTTACAATAACAATAATAATCAATTTTTATTATAATATTTTTCAGATTATATAACTGTTAATCTATTTAAAAGTTTAAATAGTTTAGTCTACATGACTTTATTAGTCTATTTAAATCCAAGTTTAAATGTTAATTAGTGTCTCTTAAGATACTAGTTAATACATTACAAAAATTTATTAAAACGTATTGTTAATGTACTTTTATCTTTTTTATTGTACTTTTAATATAAATTTTAATAAGAAATTATTTATTAATATATTAATTGATATCTAAAAGTACCAATTAGTAATAGAAGCTTTTAATTAGGTTTTCAAGTCGGATAAGGCTTCTATAAAAGTTTGGAACTGTGGATAGTAACTTTAAAAAAAGACTTATCAAATAAATAAATTAAAATTCAAGTTCACAGGACTTATCAAACATTAAATTTATTTAAACGTATTTAAATGGTTTACTATAATTTTTCTAACTTTTTAAACACGCACTACAAAGAACTTTAATTTCACGTCTTAAGAAATAATGACTCCTCTAAAAAATTATTGGAAAAAGGGTTTGAATTTCTCTGTATTTAAATAATATGATATAGTCATGTTTAAAAAATAAAAATATAATTTTCAATAAACAATAACTCCTCATAATTAATTATAATATTTATTATTTAAATTTGATCATATTTATATTTATATTTTTAATGTGATAAAATTATATTCAAAATTATATAAAAAAAAGTTATTGATAGTACCTTTCAAATAAATTTTTTAAATAATGCTCTTAACTTCAGGCGTCGTTCTTGATCTTTAAAATTTATTTTAAGAATTTAAAAATAATAACCATTTATTAAAAATAATATTATATTTTTGTATTTTAACTATAGTAAATATTTTTATTAATAAAATTATCATTTTAAAATTGACCCTTAAGATTCACCTTAACACTATTTTTTAGTAATAATCTACAATCACTTCTTAGATTCTCCTTGACTAAATATTGAAAGAAATCAGGTCAATTTTCGCGCTGGGTGTAAGACCATAGACAAAATGAATGACTAGAAGTGTCTCCAAGGTACATTAAATGGCATGTGAACCAAACCCACCCCCTACACCACGCACAAGCCAATGAGCTGTGGTTGGTTGAACATTTAATCGAAATTGAATGTTTCTTTAAAACGAGTATAATGTTAAACCAAAGAAGAATGTTAGCAACTCAGTGTAAACTCTTTTTTAACAGATTCTTAATTATTAGCTAAAATTTATAGGCCAACTGGTACTAAACTGAATTTTAATGGAAAAAAGTTACATTTTCAACCAAAATTTAGTTGTTGGATGACTCAATAGCTCTTATAGCAGTTATGCTACAATAATGACTTCTGTAACATAAAGCTTCGTCGGAGAGAAAAAGCAAGACGCTCTTATATTGGTTGATCTTCACAGCACTAACAATTATTTCGGGTTAGTTAAATACATAAAAAGCAAATGAAGGATAGCACAATTTATACAAATAAATATCGTGGACATATATGGTAGGGTAACGAAAATTTACCATTGATTGATTTGAGTCCCGTACTATATATACCCAAAAGTAGTAAGCAAAGAAATCAAATAACTAATACAAACACGCACTAAGTCATTCATCTCTAGGGTGTACACTGCTAGTAGAAAACACTCAATTGAAGACAACATTTAATTTTCAGCTACTTTGCTGCTGTTATTATCCTCTTCGGGTAACACCTGCTGCTCTTCCTTGTCAATTTCTTCAATCTTGGTCTCCTGTGACTGAGCTTGCTTAACGTCTCCTGAGGCATCCTGAAGCTGCGATGCATTTATTGATATTAGTACAATTAATAACTGAAGTAAAATGTAGATGGGAAAGTGATTTTCGCTAAACAAAATCCCAGAAATTATAGAGTAAAATGACGCTCCTAAAGACTTACCCCCAAGTTTCTCAAGCTAGCAGTAACATCCTCTTGTTGCTGATGAAGGGTAGTCCTCAGATCTTGAAATTCCTAGTTTTGTTTTCATAGACAAATTTAACACAACAAAATCAATTTGAAAGAGGGGAAAAAGTCAAAAGCACACTTACTGTCCGAAGTTGCTCCACTTCTACGTTAAGTGTTTTCTTAAGCTCTGACAGCTCCTGCATGAACCATAAAAATGCATCAAGAATTGCAAAACAACAAATATACTGCATACATAAAGATAAAGTACCATCAGATCTAGTTGTAAGAGAGTTCAGCTACCATACAACAACTAAGTCTTATCTTACTAGATGAGGTCAGACTACATGGATCATACAATACATTGAGCTCGATGAAAAATCAAATTCAAAAATTTAATTAATCAAAAGGTCTCTTATAATTACTTCGTCTTAACCCTTCTTTATTAAACTAAGAGTCATACAATTCTCTCTTTTTACTGACACTTCCAAAGGTCTTCTCTACAAATAACCGAATAAACTTAAACGTTTTTCAATCATCTTTTTAACTATAAGTGTTATTCCAATATTCTCTTGTATACTATCATATCTTATCATTTCTCATGTGTCTACTCATCTCTCTTAACATTTTCATTTCTACCACTCTCTTTTTTCCTTAGTAATGTAAAATTTTCCTTTCAACTTGATAAGTACTTTATGGTCACAAATGACTTTTAATGTCTTTTTCTACTTTAACTGTCTAACTTGTATTTAGAAGTAACATTTTCTTAATTTTTCTATCATTTGGTATAATTGATTCTAAGTACCTAAAATTGGAAACTTGTAATATAATATCATCTCAAATTTTAACTTTCAATGTATAATCTTCATCTTGTTTTTGACTAAAAAGTACAATATATACGTTGTCTTACTTTTACTTAAACAAAAACTCTTAAATTTTAAAATCTCTCTCCATAACTCAAGTTTAGCATTATTTTTTTCTGAAGAGGTTAACTTATGACCACATTAAGAATGACATGAATCCTAACATGAAACACACAAAATAAGAATAAATACAAGCCATGGTCCATGGAAAATCCTTCCATCCACGAGGGTAGTCAGAACAAATACATGGAATGTATATGTCCATTTATTGGCACAATAAAATATCATTAAAGGTTTCTAGTCAACTCAACTCTTTGGATTAAAAGCCGAAAAATAGGTTTCTGTCCAACTAAAAAGGCAACACAATGCATGAGGTTCCCACCTTGTGGAGTCTGGCAAGATAGATGTATATGGGTTAACCCTTTGCAAACGAAGAAACTGTTTCTAGGATTTGAAGAATGAACCACTTGCAGCAGATGTTGCAAAATTGCAGGTTTCTTTTATCATATTATAAAGCAGTAATGTAAAATGCATATATTATTTGTACTATAGCACCTCTTTCAGTGACACTACGGTGCACTTACCAATTGCATTTCTAAAAGTACTGATTCACTACAGTTTATTATCTTTCTATTTGGAAAAACAGCCTTTCCCAAGAGATCTTAGCAGTTATAACAGTGATAAAATCAATGCAGTCTTACACAATATGAAGATGACACCAATGAAGGTGAAGGATTTTCAATTACAGCCTAGAAGCTTTCCATTTTGATACAACAGATTTGGCATAAGAAAAGCCAAATGGAGTTCATTCTCCTCACAAAAGCAAGAGATATTACGTGTATATGTAAATGAACAACCCATAAACAAATAAACATGCATGGTTCACCAATATACATGAGTCCTCACACACAAAGAAAAGGAAACTCAGTTCCTATTTAATTACTCGTCTTCAAAAACCATTTTCACTTGTTAAAAATAAAAAATTTAAAAATCTTGTTTGATGGTAGTTTTTAGTTTTTGTTTTGGAAAAAGAAAATTTGTAAACATGTTTATAAAAACTAAAAAATCAAAGATGTATTGAGAATGTGTTTTCTCGTTTTCCAAATGTCTTCTTGCTTCCTTTGCTTTCTTGTCACCTCCATGACTTGTCCAAATTATATCCATACCTTTTTTCAACCATTACCTCAACAGTGTCATCTTCCCAGTCAACCCAAAACACTACTACATACATGTGTACCAAATCTCTGCCTATGGAATCAAATTTTAACATGAATCTATAACGATTTTAGTTAACGCAGATATTCTTCAAATTAAAAAGAGAAAAAATGGTTTTAAAATTATTTCATTCAAACAAGTTTTATTTTTGTTTTATTTTTTAAAACTCACCTGAAACAAGTTTTTAGAATAATTTTCAAAATCAGTTTTAAAAACTAAAAACAGACAATTATTTCAAACAGAGCCTTGCAAGAAATTCATCATACAACAAAATGCATAACACAGGCTATTTTATGCGCACGTTAATGGTCCTTTACTTGATAAGAAATAACAAGCAAAACAGATTACAATGAAAAAACCACAGCAAGAAAAAAAAACTCTTCAAGTCAATCTATTATATAACCTCAAATGCAATAACAATAACAATAAATCATCTTTGAAAATACCCAACATCCACACAGGCAATTAGAGATATGAAGCATAAACATCTTCAGACAAAACTCTGAAGCAAAATGCAGTGTTTTGCAGACTGAGATTAATCGTGGTCACTTACATCGCGATAGACCTTGACTTGGGTATCTAACTTAGACCTCCAACTTTGCAAATCCTAGAAACAGATCCCATAAATAAACAATATTAAAAATAATAAGCAACAGTGAGCTAAACTAAAACAGGTTCAAAAAGTGAGCTAGAATCATCATAACTAACAAACAGTAGCGTGAATATGAAAAGGTAAAATAAGAATAAATATTAAAAAACATATATGACACCAGTTTCAAACTCTGAATTCTGCCGAGAAGCTCCGATCTGGATTCGTTAAGTTCCTGAGAAGAGAACAATGCCAAAAAGGTTTAGGTGTGGGAATTTCCATGATGTTTTATCATAACGAATAAAATTACAATATAAAATTCATATACTGCACCGCGATTTTAGAGGAAATGGGAGTGATGTTCTCCTTCTTCTGAAAAAGGAACAAGAGAAAAGTAAGGAATCAGGATTACGGTAAAACGTAGAAACTGAAAAATGATGAAACGCAGAGAAGAAGACAGACAGTGGAGAGAGGAAGAGAGGAATCAGGGGTAGCCATTGAGAAAGGGATCGGAGAATTGGGTTTTTTTGTTTTTTCTTGTCTTCTAGGGTTTTTGAATTGGAGCGTGCGTGTATTGTGGTTGGGGTGACACGAGTAGTAGACAAGTCTAGAAGGAAACAACAACGTTATAATCAAATGAAAGTCACCAACAGACAACAAACGAGCTCAGATTTTGAAAACCTCACGTATAAGGAGATGCCGTTGGGCGGGATATCGAAATTTGCTACCAGCATTGCCATTTATACCACTAACACTACTTGCTATTTTCTTCCATTTTCTTTCCTCTAGTTTTTTTTTAAAAAGAAGTTTTAAACTTTTGTGATCTTTACTCTCTTATTTGAAAGTTTTATTAGTGAATGCTCCTGAAGCATTAGATAAATAATGAATGATTGTTTTATTAAAAAAATCATGTTAAAATGATTTTAAAATTACATAGATTATTTATTAAAAAATTGCAGAAATACGAATATTTTTATATTTTTAATCAAGATATATTTTTTATTTCATCAAAATATCCGTAGGACATTTTTTTACCCTTTTCATTATTTGAAACAATGTTGCACAGTGTATTTTATATTTTGTGAAGATTTAAAAGGGATATATTAAATAGCTTTCTATGAATTTTTATGGTGTCGAGATTTAATTTTTGTTTCTCATGGTAAAAAAATGAAGGATGAAAAAAATTCAATTAGAAAAAATTAGTGGATTTTTCATTTTTATATATTTTTCTTCCACTATTTTCCTTTTTGAAGATAACATGAACATGCTAAATATTCTTGAATTGAGAACCTTCAAATTTTACCTCTGTCCCCTAGATTTCTACAAATGAAGAAAACTTTATGTTAAGCACTCCACATTATCACTAATAAGTTGCAACTCCAATCAATTTGACAAACTAGAAAGAACAACACTACAAATTAATTTAAAATTTTCTGCAAAATTTTGTTAAGTGATTACAAAACCAATATTTCAATACAATATTTAAATCAATTTATATAAGGCATTTAAAAAAAAGTAGAGACGTGAAAGAGAGAACGAAGAAGGTGAGAACAACGAGAAAATTAATGAAAAAAGTGACTTAAATGAGAGAACAAACGTGATTACTTTGATAAAATTCATAAAAAGGGTAATGATATATATATATATATATATATATATATATATATATATATAAAGAGAGGTTATACCTCCAAATTCTTGTTGAATTGCAAAAGAACATTGATCACGATTTCAATGACAATATATTTTGGCTGAGACTATTAATGTTAGAATTTTAACGAGAACAATGTAAGATTCACAATGAGCAAAATGAAATTAATATTATTTGCACATGTATTATTTGAATTTGACTATTGTTAAGCAAAAAAATGCTAATTAGCTATAAAAATTTAGTGGCTAAGTACGACGTCTATAAAAAGATTAAACAAAAAAAAGAGAAAAATAGTTTTGACAATAAAAAAATCACACCATCTAATACTCCTCGGATATTATAATTTCATCATATTATGTTTTCTATGTCATATTTTCTTAACCTCACTCGTCCATTGTCATGCCTTGTACTAATGGTAATTATTTATAGGTTTAATGGTGTATTAAAATTCCTAAAGTACACCTTAAGTTGGGCCCAGCCTTTGGTTTTATAAAGATATTTAAATAATATTAACGGGTTTTTTTCAAGGGAATGAAAATATACAAGTTTCACAACAACAATACTCAATTAGTAATGATAAAAGAAATTTGGATTAAAAAGAAGCATGATAGATAGGATAGACAAATCATCATCATCACTATTATTATTATTTTATCAACATTTTCATAAATTATTTAGCCAAATTTTATGTACAATATTATAAGTATTTTTTTTAGTATTTTTTAATTATAATTAAAGTTTTATTTTGATAATATATATTAATATTTACGAATGATGTGTACTTCACACTTCACATTAAATTTTTTATGCTGTCCTATAGACACAAAAGTGGAAAGTCCGAATTTAAGAAACCCAAATAAATGAATTAATGATAATTGATACAATATCTGTCTTGAGAACTACTTTTACTTTCATTAAAAGGAAAGTAAGGAAAAATAATATTAAAGTGATAATGATATATATATATATAGATTCAAGCATGCATACAAGTAATTATTAGGCGAGTTTGTGTGCTTCATAAAGGAACTCAAGTGTGGCAGAGGCTTGGCCTCGTTCCTGCGTTTGTTTTTTTTACTTTAATCATAACAATTTTTATAACATTTTAATAATCATAATAACATACTTACTTTTATTAAATTTGTTTTTTTAATCATAAATATTGCCGTAAAAGCAATATTAAATATTAAATTAAAACTCCACCGAAAGAAAAAAAAATCGTGTAGGATATCTCATTTCATACTTTGACACACAGTCAAAACTCGCAAGCAACGACGCATAATTTATAGACAATTCGATAATCACAGCTCAAAAATAATAAAATAGACAAAACGCATTTTGCAAAGCTATTTGAAAGAAATTGTTGATTTTGTCATAAATTTAAGCATTTAAAAGTAATATATTTTTATTTAAAATCTATTTATTATATTAAAATTTATAAAATTATAATTATATTTTAAATAAGTTTTATTTTTGTTTTTATTAATGGTTTAAATTTAAATCCAAATTTGAAATTAATATTTTTCTTAAAAAGTTTGTTAATAATTTTTTTAATTATTTTAAAAAAATTAAATTATCTCCTGGTATAAATAATTTTATTTTAAATGAATTAATGAAGATAAAACATTATATTATAAATTATATTTGTTCAATTATTTTAGAAATTTTTTTATTAATTCATCTGAGATGAAATTATTTATTTCATAAAACAATTTAGACAAATTTAAAATTAAAATATTAAATTTTTATTAAAAATTAAGTTAAAATGCATTTAAAATTACAATAGGTGTGTATCAATGGCACTTTTAATATGATGAAATTCGTTAAAATACCTAAATAATACTCATTAATATTTTTTAAAAATAAAAATTTTATTATTTTTAAATTCTTAGAGTTAAATTTAATCATTTATAAATAAAAAATTTGTTAAAAAAATAATACTTTCATTGTGTTGAGTTATGAAAGCATAATAAGTAATTTTTTAAACACATTTTTATATTAGTTCCTTAAACTTTAGTCGATGTTAATATTTTCTTTTCAAACAATTCTATTTTCAGATGAAGCAAAGAGGTTTCATTTGGTGGACTATGATTTGAGTGTTATTTGAGAAAGAAAAAAAAAAGGAATAAACGACATAAATTAATTTATTAATTTATTTCTAAAAGAACCTTAATAAACTTGTGATTCTTTAATTTGCCGGGGAGAAAGGAAAATTCTTTCTTCATAACAAAGTAAAAAAGCAAAGAGAAAAAAAGAATAAACAAAACGGGGCCTAGAAAATGCTGACGGTAGATGCAGAGAACTACAAGCAGAGCAAGGCGTGAATTTCTCTTTGAGTTCCGAGTGGACTCAGTTGCAGAGCGATGAGTCAGGAATCGTTCATATATAGCTTCGTGGCTCGTGGGACAATGGTGTTAGCAGAGTACACAGAGTTCACTGGGAACTTTCCTGCCATTGCAGCTCAGTGTCTTCAGAAACTTCCCTCTTCCAACAACAAGTTCACCTACAACTGTGATCACCACACCTTCAATTTCCTTGTCGAAGATGGTTATGGTAATGTTCTTTTTTCTCTTATATGCATTGCTATTGTGAGTCACATGTTTTGTCTGAACTAAGCCAAAGGTGAAAGTGGAATTTGAATTGGTAGTTGCTGGATCTAGTTTTAAAATGGACGTGACAGTGTGACTTTATGGGGGCTCTTTAAGTGGGTATAAAGGTTTCATCTTTCGGGTTTTATTTGCATTTGGAGTTAATTTTCCTGGTGGGTTTTGTTTACTTTTTTTATGGGTTCTTACCAAATTTTGTGTTTTTCTTTTTTCGTTTCATTACTGAAATGAAATCAATCAATGATCGGAGAGAGGCGGAATTTGGGTTGTTGTGTTTAAATTAAGGTTTTTTTTTGTTAGTCTGGTATGACTGTTTAATTTTGCCCTTTGTTGACACCTACACTGTTCACACGATGGCCTTGGGCTTGGTCAAACGCCGATTGCTTTTTTTTTTTTTAAATGATGCATTCCTTATAGGAACACCTCACTTCATTGTCACTTTGTGCCCTTGTCCATCAGCAATCAGGGATCTATGTGGAATATCTGATCATGTTGTCATTCCTTTGTGGATAGTCATGCAAAAGAGTGTGAACAAGGCCTAATCTTGTGGCTGTGAAGTTGTGTAAATGTTCCTAAGTTGGGTTTAGGTTACAATAGTATTACATGGCCAGTGAGGTCTTTGCATGACTGGAAACTCTGAAGCTTTTAATTCCAATAATGCCTAATTTTTTGTTTATATAGCTAAGAAAACAAAATATGCTACCTCTAGATGTAAACATGTTTGAAATTTGGTGGTTTTGTTTTTCAACTTCTGGGATTAAAAACATTGAGTTGCAGTACCATGAGTGATTAATGCTTTACCAATGGGCTTTCTGTAAATTACAGCTTACTGTGTTGTTGCCAAGGAATCTGTTGGCAAGCAGATATCTATTGCTTTCCTTGAACGTGTCAAAGCTGACTTTAAGAAAAGATATGGTGGTGGAAAAGCAGATACAGCTGTTGCCAAGAGTCTGAACAAGGAATTTGGGTATACTCATTTTGTTTTCTAAATCCTTTATGATGTTGCTGATTTCTTTGAACCTTGGATAGAAAAACTGTATAATGCATGAAAAGTTTAATAATATGGGACTATGGGTGCACATTTGCAGACCAGTTATGAAAGAGCACATGAAGTATATCATTGATCATGCTGAAGAGATTGAAAAGCTAATAAAAGTGAAGGCTCAAGTTTCAGAAGTTAAAAGTATCATGTTAGAGAATATAGACAAGGTACTGTATTGTATAGGAGTAAGGCTTGGATTTTTCTTTCCTGCTATTCAGTCATTTTCTTTTGCAGTTGTCACTATGCATCCTGGCCTAAGGTATAATCAATTTCTCTTCTCTCTTGACATATGAATCTAGCGGTGGGGGTGGGGGCATTTGATTCTGTGATGATTGCTATGCTTATTTGCAGAATGCTTTATTGCAACTTTTGGTTAGTGTCCAAGAAAAGTTCTCTTTCACTCTGCGTCCCCCCTAAATACTTCTTCAGAAAAATTAGAGAACTGAAAATTTATAAAACAATGTGAAATACTTGGACAAGCAGTATACTTCAATAATTGCTTCTTCCTCTCCCTGCCAGTATTGTTAATGATACTAGCTATGACAGTTTAGTATTATTCCTTTAAATTTGTAGTTTTAGAACTATTTGCTTTTAAATGGTCATTTTTCACTGTTTGTGAACAATAAAATTCCATTCCATTATTTAAAACTTTCAGTGACTAAATCAGAACCTATTATGTTCTGTATGATCATTAAATTTTTCCTTGTATTGTTGTGCTTGCATCAATTACTATAGCTCTACACAGTTGCCTTATTTGAAGTTTCATAATAGCAGGATGCATCGATTGTGATGGTTATGTTCATTATATTTGTTTTCAGGCTATCGATAGAGGAGAGAATCTAACTATTCTTGCAGACAAGACAGAGACATTGCGCTCACAGGTAAGTAATTGGTTGACTAAGACAGCTTCTTTTTTAACTTGTGCTTTCTGAGGCTGAGGGATTTCGTATTTTTCAGGCTCAAGATTTCAGAAAGCAAGGAACACAAGTCCGTCGGAAGATGTGGTATCAGAACATGAAAATTAAATTGGTTGTTCTTGGAATTTTGTTGTTTTTGGTCCTGGTTATCTGGCTTTCTATTTGTGGTGGATTTGATTGTACAAACTAGCAATCATTGAAAGTTTCCGTATAGGTTTTTGAAAATTATGTTTAAGTGGACAATTTAGCAAGAAAATCAACTCAGAAGGGGGAGTTTGGCAATTGGAAAGAGATTTCCCACCTTCTTTGGTGATTGATAATGATGTATATGTTCTTGGAAATTCTTCAATATAGGGAGAGGGAAATGTCTGTGTATCATATTCATGTGATGTGATGGACTGTTTGATCTACAAACAATACATTTGTAAGTTTTTCCCTCATAACTTCATATACAAAAATGTTATGAACTTAATTTCTGTCAATTCTGAATCACTTGTTTCCTCCCCAAGAAAATAGGAGTCCTTTTTGAAATAGTTACTAAATGAAACTTTGAACATGGAGTCTATAAGGAGGAAGGAATGAAGCTGAGTTAATGAAGTCAATATGTCTCGCTTATGATGTTTACACGGGGAAATGACATAGACCTTAAGTAAATGAAGAGGAGATAGATAATAATCTGATAAAAGAATTTGTGAGAAAGAAAGATATAGAAAAATAAAATGGTGATAATGAGAGTTTTAAAATTTCTGGGAGGAATTGTGTAAATAACATTACTGATATGCAATTAATACTTTTTTTTTTACGTTGATATGCAAGATTGCAAGTAATACAATTTGACAGCGTGGTTTGGTGTCTATGTTGTGACACCAAAGCTATCATTACGTCTCAGTGGGATTAACATGCGTTATCGATTATTATTAGTTCTAGGGCCTCAAGTAAGGTGCAAAAATTGATCATCAAAACCCTGCAGCAACTTCATTCAAAGGTGAAGGAGGTCATTAGTGCATTGGCTTCAGATTGAAGGTACTCCATTGAGAAACAATCCAATAATGATAGAGTGAGACCTCTAGAATTCTTCTCAGCATTTTCTAGAGAGAGAAAGAGAATTTTTTATCATATATGAAGAAAGTTTATATAATATTTAATAAATTTGGAATTCTGACTTTCAACCATAACCTACAAAACTAAAATTCACTTACTAAGTTTGAATACCCCAAAACCTTAGATTTGAATCAATGTCAAACAAAGGTACAGAATAAAAACCTAAATATAAATAAAGTCTAGGGATTAGAAAGGACTTGTTTGAAACAATTCTATTTTTAATTCAAAATTGTTCTAAGAATTTGTTGAAGATAACTTTTTGAAAATAAAATGAATATAAAAACTTGTTTGAAATGAAAATGTTTGGAACTTTCAAAACAATTGAATTCTTTGTCCATTACTTGCTGTGTCTTATTTCCCTTACAATATGGGAGTGATGAAATTTTATTTCACTTATTACCATAATACCATTAATAAGTATATCTATTTATACATTTGTCGCTGCATGCTTAGAAGAGAAAAACAAAAGTTTAGAAAACTGGGATAAGCAGTTTCTGTATTATTGTTTTTAAAATTGATTTGATAATTATGGAACCAGTTTCAGAAACAAACAGAAAGAAAATAGTTCACACCAAACATATTTTTTAGTTCTTTTGTTTTTAAAAATTAACAGTAATTTTTAAGACAGAAATTAAGGTCCACTTTTTTTTTTTAAAACGGGAAGACCAAAATCAAAATTGAAATAAATTATAAAGGTAAAATAATATATAAATCTCAAATTTAAATATTATCTATATAACAATTTTAAACTCACAAACATTGAAGAGAATGTTCACAAGCTCATGACAAGACACAAGGTCTACTGGTTCGGTATAGTCAAAAAGGCAATTCACTAGAAGACAAAGGGAATTAATTTTTCCAATTCTTGGCGGATAAGACATAAGTCAATTAAAAACTTAATATTGCATTTTTTTAATAATTTTTTTTTAATAAAATATATAATAAAAATAAATTTATACATACTTAAATTATATTTAATAATTTAAAATTAATTTTATTTAACTTTAAATAATTATTACACACAGCTTTTTCTGATATTTTCCACCACTTGATCCTTTTTGTTTTTGGTCATTTGACTTGATCCTATTGCTCATCGTAAAGGAAGAAACTGACCACTCAATGAAAAGAGCATCATAGCCCATTCAGGAACAGAATGGGCTTAAGGTACCACAGCACAGCACACCTTGCCATGATTGAAGATGTAGAATTTGTCTTGCTTCGATTTCATGGCCTTTTCTTTTGTTCTGTTTAATTAGCAGCATATCTCCAAGGGAATCCTTGAGTTAAATGTTGAACATTTTCAATTGGTTGAGAAGGGCATTGAAGGATGGGAGAGGACACGCTTTGGAGATCCTTTGTGAATTGTGATCCAATTCCAACATATGGGGGGGGCACATATTGCTCGGTCCAATGAATGCAACATCTTAGCACAATTATTTTCCGGTATGGCAGATTTACAATATACAAACAAACCAAAGATTCTTCCAATGCAGACAGAACAAAGAAATGCACCATGGCTTTCCAAATCATTTCTAATGGAGGGATTCGATACTATGTTGATCAGAAATGCTTCTATCCATTCATCCTTTGTAGTTTCTTAATGAAAATGAGACGTTCCTAGATACTTATTTATAAATTAATAACATATAAGCATTATTATAACATTTAAAATATTCAGCAAAGATGTATCAAATAATATATAAAATTACAGATAAATTTGTTCATCTAAGTTAAACACAATGCGATAAGGTATCAAATTATAATGCATGTGAAATATATCTAATGATAATATTTCTCAATTTAAGATTAGGAGAACTATAGATATGGACCGTATGATAATATATGGTATTTAAAATGCTAGACTCATGCTATTTAAAGAGCATTATAAGCCTACTATATTCACCTATTTAAATAAATACATAATAATAATAATATTCTTCCACTAATTCCTTAAATTTAGGAACAGGTCAAAGGATTGGTGTAGCTCATTAAATCCCTCCATACTTGTCATCTTGTAGTTGATGTAAATTAACAAAGGAATTAGTAATTTGAAATAACAGTAGAAAAAACTAATTAATCAAAAAATTGATAATTGATTAATTTAGTGGATTGCTATCAAATCTACGAGAACGAACTTAAATTCAGTAAAGATAAGATTATACATAATCAATGTCTATTATAGGTATAATAATTTTGATTGTAATTTTGTTAAATAATTCAAGACGTTGTTAACTATCTTATACTCTTCTATAAATATTTCTTCTCCTTCAAGAGAAACCAATGAAAGCAATTATCTTTCACTCATTCTCTTCTTACAGTTGTTATCAAGAGAAATCTATTTTACAATGGTGCTTCTCTTTGTTATTGGTGCAACAAAAGATCCCATTAATCCATTGATATTGCATCACTTTGATCACCTTGGTATTGCTCTCGTTTCATAACCTCTCATGGGTTCCCACTATAACATCTAGAGTCGCGCCATGTTAGTTACTTTGTCTCTCAAGAATAAGTTTGGTTATGGTTCTGTTTGTTGTTATCTCTTCAATTTTTAACTCATTTCACAAATACTTTGTTACAAGTATTATGTATTTTAATTTAACTTATGAAATTTGACAAGACCTCAAAAGTCAACTTTTAGTAAAAATTAGTTCTTGAATCTTTCAATTACTCAAAAGAGTTTGAGTCTAATCCAAGACATTGATAATCCATCCACCAATATTATACCAAGCTAAAAATCGTATGGAATGAACTCTCATTCTAACCATAATTGTATTAAATACTTAAGAGTTTTTTTTCTACTCAGAGTGGCCTCACTTATTTAATTTATTATAAAAAATACTCGTGTTCTAGAAAAAATAAAATATAGAAAATATAATTAATGACTTTTTATTTAATTTTATTATTTTATATATTTTACTTTATAAATTTATAAAATCAATGATATATTATTTTTTATACTTTTATTAGTTATTGAACACAACTTTAGAATGAGAGGGAAAAATAAAATAATTAAAAAATTATAAAAATTAAATGTGAATAATTAAGATTATAAAAGTAAAAAATTATTCATAAATTAAAATATAGATATTAAAGTACAATTAAACTTAAATTTTTATGATATCTTATTAAGAAAAATTACAAGATGAGGTGGGTCATGTGTGCTCTATAAAGCCAATCCTCATGTCATACACGTGGGATACGGCATGCTTACTTGGACTGGGGCTTTAGCCAATGCACCAAAAAGTTGTTCGCTTAAATAATGGGAAAAGTCAACTTGACAACAATCCTTCCCCACACGTGACTCTCTCCATATCTCCTCATGCACACCCTCCCTCCTCTTTCTTACCCATTTCATGTTTAACATCCTATTTAATACTTTTATAACGTCAAAATTCTAAAATTAAATTATCTGTTAAGAAATATATTTTATAAAGGACGATGAGTCAAATAAAAAGAGCCCCAAGGAAATGAAATGAGTTATATATATAGCTCAAATTCTAATGAAAATTTAACACATCCCATAATATTACTAACTAACTACTTAATATTCTGAGAGATAAACACACAAAGCAAATCCCAATGTGAATAATTAACACACGAGTATAGGAAAACTCAAACTTTGATTAGAATGATTACATAGATTTACAGCACGACACACAAATGATGGCTACCCACTGCTCCTCAGGCTTCACAATTCTCCAATGAGACAGTAACTCTATACATACACAAATATTAATCATATAACACAAACTCATATAATACAGAAATTAATGTCACCATCACTTAGACATAGACACACGCCCTCCGTGGCCACGAATCCAAAATCAAACCAACACATGTACACAAATCAGAAGAAGGAAAGGAATTAGTCTCCAAGAATTCAATTTTGTAGGGTACACAAAGAGGTCATGACACACACACGGGAAGCAGGGTACCCTGTCCCATGCAGGGGTTGTTTGTTTTCATGTGCCTACATCATGTCCCTAACTTCGAAGTAGTTTTTGTTCTTGACCACTATGTCGTACATGTGCATGGACTTGAACTTGTTGAAATCCCTTGGGAGGGATATGAGGTGCACGGTGGAACGCTTGTGGAACTGAAGAAGGTCAGGGTCATCATAGTAACGCTCCCACCCAAGTGAGTTCAGCTTGTGTTCCAACACTGCGTAGGATGTAATGACCTCATTGCTTGCTGTGTGAACCAACACCTTGCGCTCTGACCCAGGGTTCTCCACTAGCCTCACCACACCGTTCTTGAAAACCCAAACCCCTGACATTCTTGTACTACAAGACAAGAACTAGAGGTAGAACAAAGAGAATAGGTTAGTGTGTGTTTTTGAGTGTTTGTTATGATGATGTAGTGTAGAGATGAGTGTGTAATGCAAGCTGGGGAGAGGAGTATGGGGTGTTGTGTATATATAGTGGTGAAATGAAAAGATGGGTAAGGTTGTTTCAATCATTATTTTAGTTATTCTACATATTATGTACCAATGTGTAATATAAACACTATTCGGATGTGAGTACAGCTAAGGTGGGACCCAGAGGGAGAGAGTACTAAGTCAAGTAAGTATACATTTGAAGAGAGGGTTGATTGAGTATTGATGATTTCATATGTCTCGGTCTTAATCGGATTGAGGGGAATCCTGATTCCCTTAACCATTTGCGGAGTCCAAAGTATTGTTGCCCCACGTAGAGAATCTTTGTTTTGTTTTGAAGAAAAACTTGTTATTCTAGAAACATAGTCGGAGAGTGTGTGAACATACATGTAATGTAGACGCCACTTTCTGCATAATTACTAGGCTAGTTGTATAATAATGTAAACAAAGATATATAGACACGAGCAAATGTTCACAAGAAATGCAGCAAATTAATTAAGCTCATTATTAATTGGCAGAGACTAATAAGGCCAAGAGATAATCTAATAGTATGACAAATTTGTATAATCAAGCGCTGGTGAAGGAAAATGTGTGAGAGAATGTGGGGAAATATAAATTGGACTTGAATGTGGTTGTGGAATAAATTTCTTTAAGAAGAAAGGAGGATGCTCGTGGCACGGGAGACTCAAGTGAATAATATGCTCTTTTGAAAAAGTTTTCCTATGGTTTGTGGGGAGGATATCAAGTGCATAGTGGGGGTGGGGACCAAAAATGAAAGGAATTGATCTCAATTAATTCTGATCGTTAGGTGTGGAAAATAACGTTGATGATTTTCATTAAGAAGGCTTTCCATGCATTTCTTTTTGTTTATATTGCCTAATTGTCTTTGCTAAATGTTACTTTCGGTAAAAGGGTTTATGGAATTTGCCTAACTAGTGTTGACTATTCAAATAGCCACCCTTATTAGTTAGTATCTTTAAAGTACTGATCAAACACTTAAAAGTTATATATATCAAACAATTTACCTAACATGGGCATTTTTTTAATTAAAAGTTATACATTAAAAATACATTACAAATTATGAAATAAAATTATTAATCTATTTTTATTTTTATTTTGAATTTTTTTGAACTGCATCCAAAGAATATCGATCAGTATTTGCCTTGTATGATATTACCAATGATTTGCGTATTCATTGGATAATAATAAGGAATAATAAACTTTTTCTCCCCATAAATCTAATCCTTGCGTTGAAATCGTTTTGAAAATGACTATATATATGAACCATATCCTTCTGCAGCTTTCTTTCCAGCTTTATAGGGAATGGATTAGGTAGCTCGTGTTTACTATATAGCTAGCTATTGTACTCGATATCTGCATTTCCCTCGTGGCTAATAATCCTCGTGAAAGCTAACTCTAATATTCACCCAGCAGGATCGACAGAAGATGGATTGATAATGCCAATAAAATTGAACTTGTAATATCTAGCTCCATTCATCACTTGGTGTCCCACTAAGTCTCGGTTTGTCTCTCCCTCAAGTGATCAATGCAGAGTTAATAAAAATTAAATCAATGAGCATTAAATTATTAATATAAATTACGAGATGCTTTCATATTTTTTATTTTTTTAGTTCTTAGAGAATCAATTTTAGTGTAAAAAAAAAACTTTAAAATGCATGTAGATACACCTTACTAAACGATTATTTAATAAATTAAAAACTATTTTTATAAATTGTTTGTAAACTTGTAAATCTATTAAAATCGAAATTTATCCAAATTTTCTTTAAGAATAGTAGTAACTACTAAGACACGTGCATAATCCATTACTAATTAATTAGTGTCTTATTCCTATTCAAATTGTCTTCTGCTATGAACATGTATATAAAATTTGACTTCAGTTTTCATAACTTTTGTTAATTTGGTTTTCATAACATGCATAATCAATTACATGTGGTTTGCAAATTATGCATGTGTGTTATATATACAACGTTTTAAATTACAGATGCCGTCATGATCACAGATATGCCTTTAAAAGTATGATATTGTGAACAATTATGATCAAATGCAACAGATATAGCTGCAATGTTGATAGACCTTTAAAATCATGATATTACTGGTGTGTGTGTGTGTGTGTATATAAGGATCGTAGTAATACAATCTTCTGGAAGATGAAGAAATTTGCATGGAGGAGCTAGCACAACAACTTGAGAGTGAATAAAAGTGGAGCTAGATTCCAACACCTATCTCACCCAACCAAATCAAAGGTGAGCCATCAAAGTTGTAGGCCTTTAGGGTACACATTCTCTTTAACCCAACACCATGGTCGTGACTCACCATCAATTAGCCATCTCCTCCTCGTGCCACACGGTCCTGTGACTGTGATGCTTAAATACACTGGCCAAAATTTTATTAATTTGCCTTATCATGACAAAGATTTTGATGGGGGCTTCTCCTTTAGTCATTTTAGCTTAAATTCCTTTTTTATGCCCATTGGACCACTCGTGAATGTCTTCAATTTGTTATCTTCCATCAATTAGTCGATACTTGATAACTCCATATAATTCCATTCTTTGAACTTCATATGATTAAATTCTCCTATAAATTCTAAGCAAATATACAAACACTACGAAACTCACAGTGGATGCAGGTGATGGCTAGCTAGGTACCAAAGTAATACAAGACACCTCTTTTTCCAATGAATCCCGGCTGTTATCTTATAGGAAATAAATATCTTTTATTTTTTAAGAATAACCCACAAGATCCCATTGCTTATATTATATTCGCTTTTATTCTTTCTTTTTTCATTATCATAAATACTATAATTAAGTGTTTATTTAAAAAAAATGTATATTAGTTGAGAATTTACTACAAAACTCATTAAAATAAAATCAGTAAAAATACTTTCAAAGTCCAAACGCCCCTTCACAAATAAAATCAATTTAGGCCAATGACTAAAACTTGTGTCAAACACTCACAATAAGTGTCGACCTCAGACAATAATCTCAACATCCAAATCCAATGTCGAGCTTTCTTGATAAGCTATGTCAACAGAACCCATTACTTTTGAGATTTTGCCCATATTTATCTGTGCAATAAAGTTATTTGGAGAACATATGCTTAGCCCGAAAACAACAACCTTTATAAACATGCTTCTTTAATCCCATGTAACATTGAGGATCATAAAGGAGTTGGCTCCACAGCAGATGGAAAACACCCCCCCGCAACACATGTATACAACAAGCCCATGTGATTGTCCCATAGAAAAAGCCAAAATCTTAGTCCTATATTTAACAAAACAAGATACTTACTCGTATCAGCATACTTTATGTATATATCTTTCCATATTAGCCTCTCCTTTTAAACGAATGGTTATAGTCACCAAAAGGAGTTGTTGGTTAGTACTTTGCGTCATATAATAGGTTGCTTTCTTACCAAACATCACCAATAATTACATTAGAGTCGAGGTTTAGGCAGGTTAATTATTGATTTAATTCAACTAAAATGGACCGGATTCTGCTTGTCTAAAACTACGTTTTAGTGAAACATGTATTAAGTCTTAATTTGATTAAGACTTAATAATGTGTGGAGTATAATTAAATTAATATACTTTATTGATATAATCTAAACATTTTAATATCATTTATAGCCAAATCATAGCATTAAAGAAATATATTTTAAAGTTGAAATTCAGCTATCTTGAGTCATTAGCGGTTCAATGTCTAGATTGGGTTAGATAGTCGATCTAAAGCTCAATACAGTAAAAATATTTATACACTTAATACCATACATATTAGATACATATCGCCCCACGGGGCTTAGAACTTTTTATGGTCAAGTCATGCTATTGTATTTTGGAGGAGCATGATTTACATTAGAGATTATATAATAAGCCAACGTTGTCATATAATGTACACATTTTACCACTTACCATTATTTTATTGGTGTAAAGACAAACTTAGATCACTAATCTCATTTCCAACAACATATAACAATCTCACCTCTTACCTATATTTAAAACATGATGTCATTGGTTTTATTGAACTCAACAAAAATTTTTAGAGAAATTGTAATCTTCAATTTAATATATATATATATATACCCTCTGGTTAAAAAAGAAGAAGTGAGGATTAACAAAAGCGTGGTACTCTCTTAATAGCCACCCATTTAGTAGATTTCTTAGATGTGACACATAAAGATGCCATGCCTTGAGTGAAGGGAGACAACTTTATACGAACAAACTTAAATACCCATTATTGTGATACACCGATAGCTGCGCATCATTTGATTTAATTAGAATCCCTACACAAGAAAAATTAAATAATGCAAATAAACAAAATTCCTCTACCATTAATTGGCCTCAAAAGAGGAATAGTGATTTTTCCAAATGATCATCTAACAGTTTGCAAGCATCTTAAGGCCCCGCCTAGTTATGAATTTATTCTGCTTTCTACTACGAGTTGAAAAAAAAATACAAATGAAAATCTGATTTGTTTTACTAAGTTATACATTGTTTTTGAGAGGGGTCAGATATCAGAATTTTTCTAAATGGGGCGAGAAACGAAGGGCGAGGGAATTTTTGATATAAAAGAAGTGGATTAAAGCAAAGGGAGTTGCTTGTTAAATATATATTGTTAGGCTTGAGACTAGCTTTGATTAAAAAAATTAGGGACTTTGAGAATAAAGTACTAAACATAAGGAATGTAGGATCAATTCTCTCATAATCCCATTTTAAGGAGAGAATTTTCTTCCCATATTCCTTTTCTACTGATAAACAAACCGGTATAAAAATAACTATTATCAAATTCATCTATCATACTAAAGTCAGATAGCAATTTCATAGCACAATTTGATGCCAAGACGTTTGCACGATGCAATGAATGTAATTTAGTTGTAATTGTCAGAGAATAATTATTGAATAAAAAAATATTACATACTCTTTATAATTTTAAAATAATAAAAGTATGTCCTTTTAATTAATACATGATTTATAAAGTATGAGAAAGATTATTAAAAAATCTAATAAAATTAATACTTAAGGGTATATGAGAGAATTTAACTTTATAAAAAGCTATTTTTTTTTTACTGTCATTTAAAAAAAGATAAAAATAAATAATGTTTATAAATTTGTTTATTCTATTATAAAATTGTAAAATACATAATTTTGAAGAATAAACTAAAACTTTATTCGTTATATTATAATTAATTAATGTTTAATTTCATCTTAAGACTTAGTTTAAATATTTATATATACAAATTTATTTAAAAAGATATATTTATTATATTAAAATTATAAAAATATAATAATTTTTTTATTAAAATATTGTTATTATTAGTTACTTATCATCAAATATTAATATTTTTTATTAACGTATTAATAATATACGAGTAAGCTTGTGAATTGTGAAATGGCACAGAACGGAGACGAATATTAGGTATTTACCGGAATAAATAAAAAAAAAATTGTGGTGTATTTATCTAAAGATGTGTGAGAACATGTTGAGCCAATGTAGATAAATTTATTGTCATTTACAGATATTTATTAGATAAAAAAATTACTTTGTTTAAAAGTTGCATAATTACCTAAAAGAGACAGAATATTTCACCTAACTTTAGAGGACCCATCAAATATCTTGACATTTTGTCCATGTGTGCCCACCTTTTTATTTTCTAAATTCTAATAAATGATATTTTGTTCTCTTATTAACATTTATCTGAATACACTTTTACTCTTCAAATGTTATTGAATAAATTTTTAAAGATAAAAAAATATTCTATGCCATTGTATATTTTAATTTTTTTAATTAATATATAAATTTTTAAATAAATTAATGTATTAAAATTTTATTTTTTTAATTTTCTTTTCGCTCACGTTTAAGATTAACATTGACGTGTGACGTACAATAAAATAAGAATTCATATCATATTGCTTGAAGATAAAATGATAAAAAAGAAAAATATTATCTTATGTAGATAATGAAAGAATATTGGATAAAAAATTAATAAAAAAATTTTGCTATATTTTTGTTTAATACTTCCTTATTAAGTTATGTGGATAATAACAATAAATAAAATATTATTGACTTCGTAGAATTATTCCATATATTATTATTTCTGATTTTTATTATTTTATTTTATTTATTTTCTTTGATAATATAGTTTTATTCTAATGTAATAATAATCATAATATACTTTTCATCAAACTTCCTAAAATATGCATTTTATTATTAATTAAAAATTATTGTTAAATACTGTGAATTTTACTTAATACTTAATAAGGTTCAAGCATAATTTTATTTTAAATAAATTTTAATGAAATATAAATAATATATTTAGGACAGTATGAGAGTATGACCCAATTATAATATAAAACTAATTTTTTATGATATCTAGTTGATATGAGTCGAGCAATGTTCCAACTAAACCTTTCTTTTTTGGTGTTTTTCTTGGGCCTAGAATCCTACCTAAACCTAGTTCCTTATTGGGTTAAGGAAGCACTGTATATAAAAAGTGATCAGTCTAGTTTGGGCCATTCTATAAAGGCCATACCTGAATATTGTTGTCTACTAAAGCCCGCATTGCCAAGTCTTTGATTAAGGTAGAGATATATCACGACCAAAAAACGGTAAATCATACATATGTATATATGTCGTTAAAAATAAAGATTATATATATGTCCAACCAAAAAACCCTAAATATTAAAAAATACAAGTAACAAATTTATTTAAAAATATTAATAATAGATATTATTTTAATTGAGTTTAATAATATTATGAAATTTATGTAATTGACTTTATTTAATAAGATAAAATTTTATTGTTGTTGTATTATTAATGTACCTTATTTTGTAATTAGCGGTGAAATTCAAATTATTGCAGCCGTAATATGTTAGAAATATAATTCACAAAATATATTGACTCGATTAGAACTTAAGCTTTAAAATTTAAGTTTAAATTAATTTTATATTTGTGGCTCAAATAAACTATGATTGAATTAGGTAATTTATTTCAATAGATCTAACTATAATCATCCTGAATTAAAGATTATCTTTAATGCACTCATGGGTAAGGGGACTCTAAAGAGACTATGGATTATAGCTTATCTATTTGTCTTAGCTCTTTTATTTTAATGACATCATACTTTTATTTTTTCAAACACTAATACTATATTTTGTTTAAACTTTGAAAAGTAATTAAAATATATTTAAATTTTTTAGCAATTGTTTAAAATTTATAATTATAATTAATATTAGAATAAAATTTACAGCCAATAATTGTAATTGAATAAATAATTTTATTTTTCATAAAATTTCTATAATTTTTTACACGCTTTTAAATTCTTTTTTTATATATAAATCTTAAGTAAAATTTTATATTTATTTCTCACACTAGTTAAGTTAATTAATTATTTTGTTATTAGGAATATTATAAGAATGTAAAATTTTTAATGAATAATGTTTTTATAAATAAATAAAAAAATCCAGTCAAACAAATGTAAATATTTGATAGTTTGAACATAATTTTAAGAGTTGAATAAGAATAATTTAACTTAGGAAACACCAAATTAGCATTTATTTTAGGAGAAGTAAAATTAGTATCCTAAACTTAATTCTTAAACTTAAAGAAATAGACTTTAAGGTTTTCAATGTATTGAGAAATAAAATAATTTGTAGTTTAAATTAAATAAAACAATTCATTAGTTAGTAATGAATTTAACATTTATTTGGTACCCATATGTTCTTTAAAAAAAATCATTACTAATTTATATGTTTAAACAATTAACCAGTTAGGTCTTTTTTCTTCTGTTTTTTCTATTTTAAAGAAACTATGGGCACATAATATCTTCGTTTGAAAACATATTAAAAATTTTGTAAATATAAATATAACACAAAAATTAGAACAGTAACATTAAAGTAAGATAAATTTATATGTATTATAATGCAAAACCAAAGCATTAATATACAAATACAGTTGTATATATGAACTTATTCTCTGTAACACTATAGGAAAAAATTATAGATTTGGGCGTAGGTATCATGATGTTTCAAACCAGAAAGAAAAAAATGGCGAGAATATTTTGTGCAAGAAATGAAAAAAGGACGAATGGAGGGGAAAAAGTGCCTATAGATTATTATTTTTTCACAGTATTATAATATATTACGAGTCAGTGCAATGACAAGCGCATCTGGTGTAGTGGTATCATAGTACCCTCCCACGGTACTGACCGGGGTTCGATTCCCCGGATGCGCAATAAATGTACTTCTCGTAGGTTAATATATGAGCAATATTAACATTTTTTGATATACTCTTTTAAAATAAATATTATTAGTTATAAAATTATATTTGCCTAGTTTTTTATAATTTTATAAAAAATTAATTAATAATTTAGAATTAAAAAAAAACGTGTTATTACTCTTTAAAAAAATTCGAGAATGGTGTCACCATGATGGCATATTGCCAAATGGCTACCAATTTAATTTAATTGGTTGCATCCTTCAATAATTGTTTAGCTTTAAATTTGATAGAGATGTTTAAACTTTGTAGAAAGAAACAACGACATTCCAAAATTGTGTAGGTTAAGAATTTATCCCTTGCCCTTACATAAAATATCTCTTCTTTATTTCTCTTTTATCCTCTTCAGCATCATTTTTAGAACTCGTTTGATTGCATGTTTATGACATATAGTCAATTCTAAATATAAGATGAAAGACTATAATTTTATGTTTGCTTTCCGCTAATTCTTTTAAATTCTTTCTTAAACTAAACAACGTTAGAAAGGTAAGGTTCTTGTCAGTAGTGGCCTGCAGCCAAATCTATTGGTAGTGGCTGTGGAAGTAGAAACACCATCAACCTTGATTACCTTTATTATCGGATTATGCAACACTTGCGAGAGAAAAAGTTTTGTGACTCAATGAAGTTGGCATTGACAATACTTTGGGCTTGTCTATAAATATTTCAGCAATAACAGACATACTTCATCACACAGTTATCACTGTGTCTTCTCTCTAATTCCAATGTCCCATTCAGAGTTGAGAATTGAACTTCTCTAATAACGAATTTCTAATGGTAATATTCCCCATCTATTGTAATGGATATGGCTTTGATTCGAATCAAAGGTTTTGTGTTGGTGGGTTAATATGTTTAGTCTCTTATGAGTGTTTACCGAACCGGGAGCCAACTTAACACTACAGTGGGATAATCATTCCCTCATTCTCTACATTTTTAATTCGAGATATCAAGGGATTCTCCCACTACTTTATTCTACCTTATATATTCCATGCATACAATAATAATTAAAAAAAAAGGCAGAATATTTTTTATTATACCAAAAGAAAAAGACAGAATAATTGTACTTTATTCGTAATTTTTCTATAATGTCTTTTACATGCAAGAGAAATTAAAGAGAGATAAGTGATATGATCACAGTAGTTAAAGAGGAATTAAAATAAAACTATATACCTACTACTTCTTTGCTGAAATGTTTTGTAGAAGTCTAAAAAAGACTAGTGAGAGTAAATCTATTTTTACCCCAATATGTTTTTGTCAAATCTATAGCTTCTTGTTTAGAGAATTTAAAAGAAAAAAAGAAAAAAGATTTTTGTACCACTTGAAGAAATACCTTTAGAATTGTATTTTTTATTTATGATATATTTTTAAATGAATATATCCAAAAAATAAAACTAATTATATATAAAATCATATACAAATCAAATGTTATTAATTTAAATAAAAAAATTATTTACAAAAATGTTTTTGCCCGAATATAAAAATGATGCAATTCAGGAACCGATACAAGTAGAAAACCAGTAATTGCAATGGCATTGTTTCTATCATCAGATCAACTTAACCATCATATTTATTATCAAACCTATCACCAGATCAATTGAACAAAAGAATAAATGGCCACACAATTTAATCATCATCGTTCATCGTATAAACACACACACCCTTAAAAACGGAATATATTCTAAAGCCTACACGTTATATAATTTATCCCAGAAAAAAAAAAATTATACAGCCAGGTAATTAGATAACTTCGACAAATACTAAAGCCCAACCTCTTAAAACATCATTTCACAGCCCAAAAAAGCAACAACAAAATAAAATAAAAATTAAAAATCAAATCCACCAGCATCATCAAAACCAGCATCATAGCCAGCATCATAAGTATCAGCATCAGATACCATGTCTCCGATCAACATGCCACCCAAGGCACCACCAAGCAACCCAGCCCCCAACCCCATTCCAAACTTATTCTTCTTCGGTTTCTGAGCCTGTGGATACCCATAACCCGCTTGCGGCGGATAGCCGTAACCCGATTGAGCCGGTGGGTATCCACCGTAAGGCGGCGGTGGCGGCGGATACCCATATCCAGCCGGATATTGGTGCTGCTGCGGCGGCGGAGGGTACGGCGCTCCATACTGCGCCGAACTAGACCCTGCGGCCGTCGCCGGAGGAGGATAAGCCATCACCGGCTCCGGCGCCGCCTTGGTCGCTGGAGCGGCAAGGCGTTCGCCCAATTTATAGGAGAAATTTAAGGAACCCTTGGATTTTCCGGATGGAGTCCTCACCTGGTAATTGACTTGCCGGAATGAACCCCCGTCCCCGGCGTTGTCGATAATTTCCCTAAGGGGGACGTGAACGGTGCCGATGAGGGTGTCGCCGGCGAGGGTACGGTCGGAGATGAGCTTGACCTCGAGGAATAAACGGTTCTGCTGCACCAGCGATTCGTTGACGGAGAATTTCACCGGAAAGTTCCACGTAGGGTTGGAGCCACCGTCTTTGTGGACGTGGGTCCTGGCAGTTTGAGGGTGAAGGGAGTCCCCGGCGAGTGAAACGACGGCGTATACGTCCATCTTGGAGAAGAGATTAACAACTTTGAGGTCCTTTGCGGATATGATGTTGAGTTCAAGGGTTCTGAATTCCATGAGAGAGAGAGAGAGAGAGATTTTTTGTTGGGTTTGGTTTGGGGTTAAATCTTGATGATTATGTGTCTATGAAAATTGAATGAATGAATATATATAACTTTGAGAAATTATAGGAAAAAGATGAAATTTAGGAATGTTCCAGGTGGGTGCTCTTATTTCTGGACGCGTAACTTCGCCGTTACCATATATTTCAAGTTGACAGTTATCGTTTTCTTTTCGTGATATACTCCATTAAGGAAAGGCGGTTCCTTTTTTTTTTTCTTTGGTTAATTTAATTTTTTGTTTACAGATACTTTATTGCCAGATATAATTGGCGTGTTAATAATTCAATTTGTGTTAAATTCAAATTTATTATAAATACTTTTAGCGTGATTTTAGATTTGTATTTTAAAATAATTGCTTTATTGTTAATTACACATATTACCATAATTAACACAATATAATCATTGTTGCATTAATTAATGTTGTTGACATTACTGTGGTTCATTTGATTAATATTGTAACCATAATTAGTTTTATTACAGCTTAGTTCAGCACGCAAATATTATAATTAAATATTATATTCAGAAAATTTTGTATTATTGTACTTTATTAAATTCTTAATATTTCACCCCGTGATAAAAAAATTTATGTTACAATGTCTTAGTATCCAAATTTTGTATGGGAAATATTCGTATTCTTTAGAGGTGCAATTTACTTAAAAGCATATTAATATCTTACAAATAACTTATCTTGTATGATCATGTATATCATTTTATATGTCCTCATATTAGGCCAAGATTTTTATTTTTATTTTTTGCAGCAAAAAAAAAGTATTTTTTTAATTTTTAAGTATTTTCACTGTAATTAACATTTTTCAAAACAAGGTAGTGTTGGAGTATTTTTATTTTTGGCACTTGATTTGAGGGTATTTATGTAATATTTTTTAAACTTGGGTTTCTTTATCTTTTTAAACAAAAATTACATTTAAAAATAAATAAATACAAATATTAATTGGATAGAATTTTTTCTGAAAAGGAAAAAAAATTATTTAATTTTACATATGTATTATAAATAATTTGGCTGATTACATCATTTTGTTTTCATTTATATTACCTTAGTATTTTATCCACATTATAATATTACTTTTTTCATTTTATCATCCATATTTTCATCGTTAACACAGATATTGTCTATTAATTTTATCTTGTTTAGATAAATATGGTTAAGTTTGTAAGAAAAATATTTGTCTTACTGAGGATAAGGTCAAATAATTGTCAAATGCTGTAGCTTTATTTTATCATAAGTATATTTATAAAATATATTTATTTTATACAATAAAAGTCAAATTATTAATACTGTTTTTTGTTTATATTTGGGATATTAAATCTGTAATATATTTTTTTGTTTACTGATAACTTGTTTTTAATCATTTTTATTAATATTAAAATATATTCGTAGAAGAAAAATATTATAATTAATGAATACAATATTTAATTAGACTGTTAATTTTTGGTTGTATTATAAAATTAAATATGTTATACATTGAATAAATATAACATTAAATAATAATATACATTCAATGATATTTATATACATAAATGGATCCATGCTTAATTATTATAATGTTTAACTAAAATATAATAAATGTAGAAATAGAAAACAAAAACAAGTGTGGTTTTTTTTTTTATGTTGGAATTGATTGTTTTCAATTTTAATTACTACTTTGGTAATTTAATTAACCCCGATGTCTTTTATTGTGATTAAAAGTTTAAAATTTCACGAAAGATTGTTGTAAAAATTATGTAGCTCCAACTAGCTTGGAAGGGTAACTTTCCATTCTAATGATATTTTCGTAAGAGCATGTAATGCACTTCGCCAAGTTACGTGTCATGTGCATGTATTATTCCACCACGCGCATCTTCATCCGCAAAACCAACGCGGGATGTACGCGGCACCTCATGGTGGAACATGGACTATTCACATTTCAGCTAAAAAAATACCTCACGACAAACAAAAATTGAAAAAAATTTAAAACTTTCTATCTTTTGATATATATCTAAATACAAATAAAAATTGATAATTAATGTGAGTCAATAAAATAACCTTTAAAGTTATAATATTTATAATTTAATTTTTAAGAAGTTTTATATATTAAAATTTTTTAAATATTAGATATTTATCATAATAATTATGAAGGTAATTTTTTTTATTCACATGAAATTTAATTTTATCCTCTCAATTTTATTTTTTTATCTTTATTTTTAAAGTTAGATAAATTTAATGATTAAAATTTAAATAATAAAAATTTAAAAAAGATATTCAAAATAATAAATCAAATGAAATTAAGTAATATTATTTTAAAATAATATAGTAAAAACTTTGTTCAATTCTTCTTTATTTTTCTTCTTAAATAACATATTACTGTGTTAATATGTTTTCTAAATTTAAATAACTTTATTATCTTTGCATTATTATGATTTCAATAATAATTTTTATAAATAAAATTAATAAAATTTATAAATATTATGTAACTCATCCAATATTTTTTAAAATGAATAATCTGGTTAAATAAAAATAAAAATAATAATTAAAAAGACATAATTAAATGTTAAAAAATATAAAAAATTATTCTTTATATTTTTCACTTAAGTTATATTATATTTATTTAAACTAATTTTATACCGCAATGAAGATATAAATTTTATTAATATTCTCTTAAACTATTATTTTTAATTTAAGTTCAGTTAATTTTACTTAAGTCATAATTATTTAATTTAAATGAACTAAATTTCTTGACTTATTTTTTTCTATTCAATTTTCTTTTAAGTTTGAGAAAAATAACTTAAATAAAAATTGTAAGAATTATTCGATATAAATGCAACTAGTGTGCAAGGAAGACGTAAAAAATATTTAAAATGATATTAAAATTTATTAATATGAAAGTTTATTTTTATAATAAATTAAAATTGTGAGAGATTTTAATTTTAAAAATTATTCACTTCATACAAATATGGTTTATAAAATGATATTCAACAATCTATTAATTTAAAAAATATTTTATTATAAGTTAAAATTACATAAATATATATATATGTATATAATTTTTATAATTAATATCTAAATAGAAGATACACAAAAGTGATGCAGCTTGAAAAAAGATTACAAGTTATGAAGGAATAAACTAAGAAATTTTGAAAATTTAAAAAATAAATTTATAAATTTTTATGAAATATTAAAAAATAAATATATTATAATTAAGCTACAGGTTAAAATTTTAAACTATTTATATTTTTTAAATACATTTAATAGTTTAAAAATTCACTCATTTATATACCACCTAGTTTGTTAATTCATGTTAGTTTGAGTTTAAATAAAATTAATAAATAGTATTTTTACTAAAAAAATTATATTAATTGATATATTAAATTTTATACTTTGCAATAAAATAATTTATTGTATATTTTTTTTATTTTATATATATATATTGATGAATTTTTTGAAAAAAAATTTGGTATACATTATATATCTTTAAAGAGATATTAAAAACATGTAAGAGAGATTTTGAACTTAAAAGAATGAGGCATATTGAAAAGGTTAGTTGAAAGTAATTGGAACATTGAGAAAAAAAAGGTTATTGGGAGCCATGTCAGACTTGCATTGACAACAAAGGACACTAAGAAAGGCGGCACTGGCCTCTTAACTGGAAGCATATTTGACCGCATTTAGCATGTCCCAATAAGAACGTAACTTCTTCTATGCTTTATGCTCTGAAATGGAATCATCACGTAACCATATGCTTGTTTTTTTTTTTTAATTATAAAATTTTTAAATATGATGTAATGTGATCGACAGTGTGATTCCTGTTTAAGTTTTATGGCTTTTTTTTTACTTAAATAATATCTTTTAAAAATAATTTTTTAAGATAGATATATTTTAAAATTAATTTTTTGTTTAGTATTTTTTCTTTTCAATTTAACAGTAATATCATTGATATATAAACGATAATAAATTTTTATTATTATTTTAATAAATTATCTATCTCTAATACAACACTAAAAATTGACATATATCAAAATTATATATATTAAATAAAATAAAATAATAATAAATTTTTAATATTATTTTAATATATTATTATCATATAATATATAATATTTAATATTTATATTTATTATTATTATTTTAATACTATACAGAATAATTGATATTTATTTATTTATTATTATTTTAAAAATTTATCGTTTTAGAGCATCTGATACTCATATTTTATATATATATATATATATATATATATAAATTAAATTTTATTAAAAACATTAAAAATATAATTTTTATTATTAATTTAATATTTTACAGTTCTAATTTAATAAATTTTATTTGTATTTTTATAAATTTTAATCAATAAAATAATATTAAAAAATGTTTTACTAACGTTATTATTGATTATATAAAATTTTATCAAACTACCTTGGACTCAACCATAAGGGAATAAATGTTAGATATGTAATAAAAAATTATTTATATATCTTTATATTTAAAACTTTTGATAATATTAAGGCACGTAAATTTTTAAAAAGGTTAAAATAAGCACTCAATTGCCATCTTATTTGCAAATTTTATGAATTTTGCAATTTTTAAGCACAAAAATAAAATGGATAATTTCCTTAGATAATAGAGCTGTTCCGATAATCATACTGCTTATAAAATTTATTTTCTTAAATGACATACCTAACTTTATAATTAAAAAAAGCCTACATAAAAATGTTAAGACCATATTACAAAAAAATTTGTGACACTAATAATACTGATGAAGAATACTAAGAACTCGTGGATGCTAACGTGGCAACTAAAATGGTGGACAATCCATGAAATAATATTTTAAAGCTAAAATATAGACCTCAAATCAATTTTTGTTCCTTCATTTTATTTTTCCAACAACTCACTTGCATTAATGTCATGTTTATGCACCTATTCTTCTCAAGACTTTTGGCTTTGGTAATAATGCTTCTTTTGTGTATGCATTTATTATTAATGGTGTTAATACAATTGTCACATTTGTTTCCATTTTTATCATTGACAA